CAATTCCAAAGTGTGCAATCAGTGGTGGGATTTAAATCCTGATTTTCTTTTTAAAGTCGGATTGAATTCTACTTAATATTCTATTTCGATTTTGGAAACCGGATGTTCGAAACCAACCTTAAAAAAATTAAGCCTTCGTATTTTTGTGACACAGACTAATTAAGTAAGCAACTGGAATGTCCATACATGTAGTCGCAATCTCTGATTGTAACTTGCTAGTGATCTATTGATTATATAACTCAGAGTAGCTGATTCAATGACTCCAAACTCGAGAATGATGTTTAATAAATGATGATCTTTTCCTAAAAAAATATCGGTTTAAGTGGTCAGAAATCGCCTCAAATCGTACCACAGAGCACCTAGAATCAACAAATTTTTGGGGCCCTTAAGCGGCCGGCCCCGAACCCCAAGCCGTTAGCAATTATTTGGCTTTGTGCTAACATTAGTTCTGATCAAGGTATGTCCCCCTCGTTGGTGTGAAATAAAAATAAAACCCACCACAAAATAAAGTTGTGGTAACTACTTTTTATAAAATATGTGTTTGTGTGTGTGTGTGTGAAAATATATACCATCCTGCAAGTCCCTTTAAGTCTTCAGTTTGATAGTTCATATCCCTTTAAGTTGCTTTGTCAATGGGAACTGATTTTTAAGCTGTGTGTGGTTTGTGGATTAAATCCAAAAATAAAACATTCCTATGGAGTTAATGGTGCCATACATCCAGTGCCGAGCTTTGTGGGCGAGTTGTCTGGTGTGTCACAAGGCAAAGGCCAAGGGTCTTGGAAAATAAGCAAAGCTTTTTCATGCTTTTGAATAACACATTTCTTTTCCGGTTTCTAAAATAATAATTGAAACTGATTTATCTCCCGTTTTGCACTACATACAGAGATAGTATGGAGATATCTATAAATTGTTTTGTCTTTGGTTTTTACATTTGGGTCATTCTATAAATTCGGGGTCTACTTTCATTTTCCTGTCGTTTTGATGTATATCTGACATCTACGATAATTCTCCTATGCAAACATACATTCTGTGCCAAGTTGTCCTTTCAGTCAAAATCAAAGTGGCTGTTTTCAACAGTTGAGAATTCTCAGCCTACATAAAGCAGGACCGACTGGCCGTGACTGCCAATGTAACTTGACTATACAACTTTGCTTTGACTGTGGGTGATTGATAAGCCAGCTGCATGCACCTAACTTGCCTGTTTTGTCTGTTCATGGTCTGTTGACTGCTTTTGACTATTCACAGTGCTTGCTTGACATACAATGATGATCTGACTGCTGGTGACTAGCATTAAAAGTATAGCAGGGGAAGTGGATGGAAATTTTGACTGTCTGTGACTGTTTAAAGCAGCGTAAATGCAGACATCCTTCAAAAATGATTGTGAATAGCTAGCTACATTACCCAATAAAAAATTGTTTGAAGTCGTTCTTAATGAAACTTGAATGACAAGGTAACAGGTACAGGAAAGATATGTCACACTTTAGACCCTAAATGTAGGATGACCCAAGTACGTTTTTGAAGGTCCAGAAAAATACAGGAAGTACCAATACAATAATTATGTACTCATTCTTAAGATCTTATTTAAAAGTCCTATGCTATTTTCAAGGGAATACTTTATGTTAAAATTTAATGTACATGTACACCATGTATCTATCGATGGAAAACTTATCTTTGCTGTTTAAAAGCATTTTTCAAATTGTCTAACTACAGAACTTTAATACGAGTCTTGCATCTACATAGTTCTCTGTTCTCTACAGGGCTGATGGAACTTTGGAATGAATTGTTGAGGGAAATTAGGAAATGAATCGATTCGCGTCTATCTTGTCTGTGATTTATCATTATCTTTTATGTCAGCAGAGACTTCAATTTTTTGTGAATGCAGATTTTTTTATGAATGGAATCTTCTGGTTGACTTAATGGTGAAGTGTAATGGCGCCCTCTTGTGGTGAAGATATGCTGAATAATGTGTAACGTCTGCAGAAATCAATGTGTGCACTACCTCTCACTAGCTTTATGAGCAGTAAAAATGAAATACCGCCCTCTGTGGTTTGAGTGGTTGTTGAAACAAATAAACTTGTTACTTTTCTTTGTGGCATTTGAGAAAAGTTCTTTAAGATTTGAAACGTAAAGCCCTTTGTCGCTTCTTGAGGTTTTCACCGGAAGCAATTTAATTGGAATGATGATGTCGTCACCAGACAAATCACAATTATGTGTAAATTTTTACAGACAATAAGTTCAAGGGAAACTTAGCCATTTCCAAACATATTCAAAAATAACTGGAACTTTGAAACATTTGACCATTCAAAACTTTCCATGGTACATCATTTTAGATCACAATTTATTTATACAGTAAATTTATACAGACAATAAGTTCAAGGGAGAACTTAGCCATTTCCAAACATATTCAAAAATAAACAGAACTTTGAAACATTTGACCATTCAAAACTGTCCATGGTACACCCTTTTAAACCTAGTCCCTGAAGCGCCCAGAACTACCCTGCCTATCACTCACTGTAAAATACCCCAGCTCTCAATGATTTTATAGACTCTTCAGTGAATTAATGTAATACAATGTACTATAGGTGCTAATATAGGTTTTCCCGGCCAATTTCCTGAAATGTTCATTCAATTCTGAAAGTCTGTCGTTAATTTTCGTCTGAATTTGAATGCCATTTCAATTCAACGAAAGTTCAATCGTTTTCATTGTCCGTGCATTCGGTTTTGAGAAACAGATGGCCAATTACGTTACCTGTGCATTCATTTACGCAAGCATACCTTTTCTAAATTGATTTCAGGTACAGCTAATTTGATTGACGGTTAATGAAAAAGAAATCCCTAATTGTATCTGGTGCCGATGGCATTCAACTAAAAGTGAAATAGAATGCTGAATGTGATTATATGTTTGAAATTGCCCTCTAAAAGTGCAAAAAGAAGTCTTGTAAACAAGTCTGAATGGACATAAACGAAAGGTGCTGCTCAATCACTTAATTGATTGAACTGAAATGGAATCGAATGCTCTGGTAGCGAAAATGAAATGTGTGTTCAGAGCGATTCTCAAATTCAGTCGAAAATGAATGACCGATTTTCACAAGTGAATGAATGTTGTAGGAAATTGGCCGGGAAACCATAGTTAAATAGACCAGGGAAAGATTACTTTGTTTTTTTACAAGTACAGATACGGCAATACATCGGAACAATATGTGGCAGGATACTTCTGTCATAAATTTGGTGTCCTTTGAGAATGCATCGATCATTTTCATCATTTTCCCAAATCATTCTCGGATACAAAACAAAACGTGGAAAGTGCATTATGTGTTTATGAAGTGAACTTTTTTTAGGAACATTTATTTTGGCAACGTCCTACTCCTCTTCAATATATGGAAAATATTTGACATCCCTTTTTGATTAATTTGATTAAAAAGTGAATTTCTTTAATCATTTATAATCAATTCCATACTTTTTCCGGACAACTGAGGGCGCTGTACTGAAAATATGCTTACTGAAAATAGTTTTTGAGAAAAGTTTGCTCATTGGCTTACTGCCATGTACTGACACACAACAAGGAATCACCAAAGAAAAAAACATTTTCAAAATTCTGGCAAATTTTGTTACTAAAACTACCTGTAACATGGAGGTTTTGCCTGAAATGACATCACACTTTTGCTCATGAATATGGAAATTCACATAAGCATAAAACAAAAAAGGCACAAAAATGCCCTTGAAATGGCAAAATGAAAATTGAAAATAGGTTTAAATGGGACGAAAAGTGCATTTAAAAGGATTGCATTAAGAACATTACATTGCGTTAGCGCCCTTTAAGATAACCAATATAAAGGCTGTTTGATGGCCTCCTTGGAAATGCTGTTCTATCCCAAGTAACACGTTTATTACCTCCGCTAAGGAGGTTATGTTTTTATCGGATTTGGTTAATTTGTTGGTTGGTTGCTTGGTTTGTCTGTTAACAAGATAGCTCAAAAAGTTATGGACGGATTTACATGGAAATTTCTTTAGGAAGTGATTCGGATCTGGGTCTGGATCCTTGATTTTTTTAAAGGATTCTTCACCATTTATGCGAGTATTTCTTTTGGGTGTACAGACAATATAGCAGGGAATTGTGTAGCCTTGGCTGAATTTTGCGCTCTCTGAGTGCTTTCGAGTTTCACCTGTCAAATTCCATCGAAAAATCCAATCACTCTTGCAGGATGTTTTGAAAAGAAGTCAAATTCAGTGAGTCCGTCTGAATATGGACGGCAAATCATTGCTGACGACTGTTAGTTTGGTCGTCCACCCATAGTCCACCCAAGTCTTAATAGTCGCCTTTCTCAGTACTTGTCCAGTCACGCTATCTTCCGCTTTCCGACAGCGGCCAACAATAACTCTGCCTAATATCCCACCGGTTTCCGTCACCTCATGAGTGCCTGCCTGGAGCCAGGATCAAGCTACGCCAAATAATAAATTTTTAAAAAGGAAGCGACCCCATGAACTTGATCAAAGAAAAAAAAATTGGGGGGGGGTGGGGTATTATAGAAAGCACCTATTGAAGATTTGTGCTGAGTCGTTAAGGATTACCAAAGTGCCTTAGTTACTGGGAACAGGCATTCAACAAATCAAATCCAATCTGAAGGTTATCAATAGAAGTTGGAACTTGGCCATATATGCACATTGTACTCTGGAAAATCTACCTGCCTTTTTGCAGGACAACTGGTATTAAACTTCAATACCGCGCTTTCACATGCCCGTGATAAGTCATATCTGAAGCTGTAGTTGACAGAAGTTTTCTTTTCTTTTATGTAAATTGGACTTGTTGACTTTGATAGATGGTGCTTTTACTCGCAGTTAGAAGACCCTGGGATTGATAGAACTGGTTTGTTTGTTACAGCACAAGGTTTTGGTTTTGTGAGCACCCCTGTTGAGCTGAATGGTATGATCCTTTAGCCGGGGCTCGCTGATCAGTCAACTTTTATCCCCATTGTGTCAATAGCTGATCCTGAACTTGCCATGGAAGCTTGCACAGTGTCATCAGCCCTGGATCGAAACTCGGTACGTTCGGGATTTACACAAGCATTATTACCATGGAAAACCCGGCACGTTTAAAATGTCCCTGCGAGTTACCCGGCCTTCACCCGACGCCTCAGCGGCTACCATTTGAGGACAGAATACCAGCGCTTTGTCGGAACCCACCCCCTCTACAATGGATGAGATAAAATGCGAGACGGTCGCCATTTACCGGCCAAGACAGGGCCCTCGGAGGATCCACATTCTGATCTTGGCGGTAGCTTGCCTCAGCGTTGTTTTTTCCCTGGTCATTCTTATCAGATGTATGTTTGTGTTCGCCTCTTTTTTTTTGTCTGTTCTCTCTGACTCTGTCAATTTGCTTTGGAGTGTTGTTTGTGCAAGATTCTATTAATATAAATCAAATCTTTTCTGACAGGGACTACAGCTGGGGAGTTTTAAGATCGACTATTAAGAGGTGATTCGGTGGCACGCATTTGTAAAAGTTGTTTGCGTAGGCTTACATACATGTATGCGGGAGCATCATTTTTAGGAGAATAATGAATGGGGAATTTGGACACAATGTTTTAAACACTGTGCACGACTTTTCTATGGAGGATGGAGATGGGAGAGTCTTTTTTAATATTAAACTGATTTGAAACTTGCCGGACTATCTCAGAGGAAATTTTTTTTTTGACAGTACGTTATAAACCCTACCCCAAAGTAAAGTTTTAATTACATACTTGTAGCATAACTAACCGCCCTGAATCCTTCAAATCCTCTTTGCCAAAGTGGAGGCATTTGGAGGATTGAAGTTACAATGTACATGGCAAAAGTGCGTTTTCGGAGAATGGACTTTGTCAAGGTCTTGGGCCAGACCTTGTATTGATTTTGCTCAGCCATGCATAAATATAGGTCTGGATTATCGCTACTGCTCCAGGATGTCACTGGCCAGGCCTCAATATATGGACAGTCAGTACCGCAGAATTTTGCAGGATTCAGGCAGTGGTCACCCCTCCACAGACCATATTCAAGAAATAATTGAGGAATTTGCAGGATTGAGGCTACATCCTAGCAAAAAGGCCGAGGGAGTTAGAGTTAGGCTAAAACATTGCAGCACCTGTTTCTAAAGATGAAGACAACATTATAGTAATTGATAAGTTGCAAAGTAGAACTCTTGAAGTATTTCTGCTGAGTTTCTGAAAGATTCAGAGATTTTTCTGTGGAGGGTATTCTGTTGTTAATCTGAAGTGATTGTATAGGATTTACAATCTGAATTTGTCAAATAGGAAATCGTTCCTGTTTGTTGCACGGTAATGGAAGTCAAGTGCCAGATACATGTACCGGTACATCTCATTTCGCAAGTTCCATTATTCTTACCATTTTTTACAGGTTCTTTTGTAAGAAAGTTATTTTTTCAAGCCAGAATTTGAGGTTGATTTCTTTTATGAAACACGGATAATTTTTATGGAGAACGATAGTAATGGATGAACTTTCTTCTCTTCACTTTTCTACAGATGTCCCATATGTAACAAGAGAACCGATTTCAGAAGGTAAGAGATTGACTTATTTCTCCTGTCTTAGTTTCTTAGAAAATTAACTGATACCGTATACTCATGAGGCTCTTTTCAATGGAGATACCATTCTCACGCTATTGTACAAAGCAACTGTCCCATAACGGATTATCTGGCCAATATAGCACAATGCTTTCCGCCATTGAATTATTATTGTTATTAATATTAATCATTTCTGGTAATGAAACCAAGGATTCCTCAAAAGCGACCTAGGCACTGTAGCTCACAAGCCTAAAGAAACCTATAGAGAGAAGACAGTGAGAAGAAATTACAGTTTTAGAGGTGGGAGGAAAAGCCTGGGATAATATTCTGAGGAAGACCCACGGAATCAGGCAGGGACTGAAAACCCAATCCACATATTGGCCCGGCCGGGATTCGAACCCGGGTCACAGCAGTGGAAGGTGAGGAAAGTACTGCTACGCCAACCCGACTCCTCTGAAGGGGGCCTTCATGATAGATTTGGGATTGGTCTGTATTTTAAACACCTTTTTTATGTTTATACAATGTACTTGAAGTTTATTGAAATATCCACATTCAAGTTTTTTCCTGTTGTCTCAAAAAAAAAAACAAAAAAAAATTGCTTTTAAACAAAATTTAATGAGGAAAAAAATAATGTGCTTGGCTGGTTTTAAACAAGTACATTTAAAACTGGCTTGGCATGCTTGGGGTCGGGACGTCGGCAACCAGGCCCGAAGCTGATTTTAATCGTACTTGTTTAATACTGTCCAAAACTACTTTAATCAAAATAACGTGACACACAGACATTAGACAGACAGACATCAGACAGACAGACAGACAGACAGTGTTGGATCTTTTAATGTAGGATGCTTTTTTTTAAACACCATGCACTCTCTAGCTGTGTTATGGTATGTGCCTCGCGCAAGCAACCGTAATCAACTCCTTATATGAAGATTGGCGCGTATTGCGCGATGTGGTGTAGAATGCGGCGGTGCCGGTGTAGTGTGAATTTAGGACTTTATGAAATACTGACTCATTGATAGTATTGCTCATGCTTTAGTAAAAGGATAAAAGGATACAGATTTCAAGAGTCCAAACTTCATGTGAGACCGGAAGCCCGTGTTTAACAACTGTTTAAAACCACCCGAGTGACAGGCTTTAGGAATGGGTAAACTGTCTTACGTATTGTGCATTCAAGATAATAAGCAAGGAAAGTAGGTCGAATGTATGGTATATTTTGTCCTTATTCTGCAATCAACCCATTTTGTGAGACTTTTTGCAGATTTGATTGAAATAGGTTACAGATCTCTGCGTTCCGTTTTGAGAGCATCCTGCCATGATAAATCAAGAAAAGATGTACACGTATCGCACGTTTCCTTTGAACCATGATGAAATGTGCATTAATAAAGTTGAGTTGCACTTTGCAGATCAGAATCCTATATTGCCTGATAAGTCTACTTTGTCAGTCAGTTTTAAACTTTGGAATCGTGACTTTTGCCAGCCGGACTTTAGTCGCCGAGCGGGGACGTTTCTTGCGTGCGTTAGGCAAAGAGGTCAATGTCTACCAAACTGACAGATAGACGGGGCCCTATCTTACAATGATTCCATGGGTCACAACGCAAACTTAATGACACACGAAATGTACACATTTTCCATTTAAAACTGTGTGGTCTTTGCAATGTATATTACCCCCCACAAAACAAAGATAAATTGAGAAACGCACAGAGGTCTTGAAGTCCGCACATTCCATTCTGGGCAATAATAACATTTAGAACTCGATCATTGCAACATGGTTTACTTTGCCGACCACAAAAGACTCCTTAAAGACTGAAAAATTAATCATTAAAACTCTGGAATGTTTCTGCGTAACAGGTTGTCAGTTGCTCGCCTATTTTTGTCCTTAAACCCTAATATGCAGGTCATGACATAGAGGTGCCATGGTGTCAGTATTTCAAAGTCCAACTGCTCCAGCACACCTCATATTCTAAAACATGTTCATTTTGTGAGCAGTTAAAAAACAAATACATGGAAACTGTTGAATAAAGTCTAGCATAAATTGCATTTTCTGGTGGAGCGCTGTGGCCTCATGGTCTGCAGCCGATTTCACGAAACTTTACGCAATGGTATAAGTCCACTTGCGCCACAATTTATTGCGCAAGTTGTGCAACAAATTATGGCGTAACTTGTGCAGTCATTGTAGGTGGCGTAATTGTGGCATAGCAAAGTTGAAAGTGAACTATTTTACCAGCCAATTGTGATCGTTGTGAAGCCTGTTATTGCACAACTTATCAACTTCAATACAAGATTCTAACAAGTTTGTGTTTGAAGTAAAATAATTACGATTTTACTCGTGACAGACGATTTCAAAGAAAGTCGGACAAAAACATTTTCAAAATGGCAAGTCGAGGTGCTTCCATGACTGTTTCATGAACAAACAAAATCATACACAAACAGCCGTCGTAAATGCCATTATCATCCTCGTCCAGTCGTCCAAGATGTTTAGATTATTTAAAACGTTGCGCAGCTACGCCAAGTTTTGTGAAATCTATTGTAAGTGCATTACGCCGCTTTGCAATAAATCTGCTGCATACAAAGTCCTATGCATGGCGTAAGTTACACACTGTTTCGTGAAATCGGCTGCTGGTGCAATGAATTCAAGATCTGTGGGTAATTCTGCAGGTTGTGGGTTCGAATCCAGCCTGGGGTCATGGTGCTTGTTTCCTTGAGCAAGGCACTTTGTTGCACATTGCTTCTCCCCACCAGGCATGCCAGGAGAAATGATTGGTACCTGTGTTGGCAGAGATGGTCATTGTGTTTGAATGAGCCATTTGCACAGTAGAAAATGGCTGCATCTGCAGGGAGCTGAGATGCTATAACTATAAGGAATGTTTTAAGGGCCCAGTGAGCTGTGGCAATAAGTAAAGCATTTTGATCTTTATTGAAAGTTATAGAATTACTTTTTAATATTCTAAGTTTCTGAGACATTGAAATCAAGTTTTGAGATGTAGTCTTGCATTAAACACAATTTGGTACACATTGACACCGCTGACAGAAATTGAACAGATTTGTTTGAGGAATATCTGCAGTCCGATTTCCCAGAGTTCACTTTCCACCTGTCCTGCCATACAATAACCCATCACCGTTGCTTTGCCCATGGTGACGTCGTTATGTCACCCTTTCCAAACAATGCCTAGCCACCATCCATGCCCCAGAATCAACACCATTGGAGTGATTCGACCTGGAAAAGCCAACTTTTTGCATGCCATGGGAACTCAGGTCTAACAGACCTACAACTCTCGGACATGAAAATAATTTTTTTATTCCCAGAGAGGGGTTCAAAGTTCCCTTTCGAATTCACTGACAGATGGTTGCAATATAAAAGCAGAGATTTGTACTGTGGAGTCATTCTCAATATCACTGTACACCATTTGCCATTTTTTGATTTTCATAAGAATTGCTTTCTATAAAAGTTTAAAACACATTACCGACAGCTGGTTGCAATAAAGATGTTTGCCGTGCAGTTGAAACTCCACTGTCGGCTTTATTCTCAATATATCATTGTTCACATCTGGCCATTTTATTTTAACTCCAAAAATTGGTTTTGGCACAAATCTTTAAAAACATTCCCGTAATCGATGCAATAACATACCGGTAATTGTTGAACCATTAAAAACTGGTTCCTTAGGATCTACATGTACATGTACATGTATATGAGTATCTACCTAGTTTATGCATAAAAATTTACATCAGTTAGACAAAACTCTATAAATTGTTCAAGGGAAGTTCTTTTTCCTAAAGACGGGCGTCCAAAGTTCACATAGAAATGACAAGAGGCATATGGTTGCAATACAAAAAAAAAAACAGAGTGGTGCTTGACATTAAAATATTATTATTTGTTAAATCACTAACAACTGGTGAGTCTGTACTATCGCTGAAGTTTAAAAACATGTATCAACGTAGTTTGTGCATTGAAGAATTTACATTTTATGGTAAAAATCGATATGCATGTGTACCATGCCAGTGAACATTTTGATGCAAGTTTTCAGGAATACAATTTGAATCATGTAGGTTTTCAATTTTTATTTGAAGTGACAGTCGTCGTTAATCAGCAATTGGTCTAGGCCCAATATAAAGTGAATGTAGTGACCTATTCCATTTTTGGTACCCCTACCCACCCCACCCCATACCACCCCCACCCCACCCCACCCCACCCCATACCACCCCCACCCCACCCCACCCCACCCCACCCCACCCTCCACTTCCCTTCCTGCAGCAACAAGAAAATATCAGTCTACTTTATACTCATACATTGTACAAGAACGTATGCATTTATCTTATTCCGATTCTACTGCAGAAAACTCTTCGATTCCTTCCAATTTCAAATTTTTACCCAATTAGCTCACGCATCACAAGTCGACCTATATTTCCACCTTTATCCAAGTGCCAAGTATTGAGACCGAAAAAGAAACTGCAGCGGAAACGAAAAAGAAACTCTGAAACCTCAACTATGGCTTTCGACATTTTCACAGCTTTGCTTTGCAGACCGCCACACGGAGAAGTACAACTTCTCAACCAAAGTGTCGCAAGCCAAACAGTGTAATGTGTGAATGCTAGCGACTCCATCTTCAAAAGACGTGTTGGGAAAGTGTCGGGAAAGGTTCCCCGTGGCGAGAGCCGACAGGAGAAAAGAAAATAGTCTTTTTCCCAAGCCGAATAAAAAGCCAAATTTTCACCGATCCAGTTTGTTCTCCAAAACGGCCCCCAACCGAACCGTGAAAAATCTGCGAAATCAGTTAAGTCAATACTTGGGACACAATGCACAAGTCGATCGCAAATCTTTTGACAAAATGACCTCAGAAAAAGAAAAAAAAAACGACGGAAGAAAAAATTCAAATCAACTTTACCAATATTGGTTCCCTATTCAGGAGTCTTAAGTTCCCCGCCCATTTTAAAGAACTTGTAGTTGAATAAAAAATTACCAATAAAAGCCCAATTTGAAGGAAAAACGACTTGAGCTGGATTTAGGCCCTTTTCAAATTAGAGGCTATTTAGCACGCCTGATTTGAGTTCTATAGCTTGGGGTTCTTTCAAGCCTTTTGGGGCAGAAGTAATCAGGGTTTTGAGGCATTGACCAGGGCACCGGTCGTGAATGGTCCCCTAAAGTTCCTGAAAAGCGCTGGGCTGCTTTTGACTCTTTGACAATTGTACTGTTCATAATATGGCTACGTATTTCTCACCTTGCAGTTTCTGCTACCTAATTGCACAATATTCTGTTAGGATTGCACATTGGTATATCCTGCAAATTTTAAATTCAAGGAAACGTCTGTGACATGACGGTCTCTGACATTTATCATTGAAAGACCCATGAAGGACAAAAGAAGTTACATTGTAGCTGAAAATACGTATGTCCTTGACTCCTTTGTCATAACAAAACGAAATATACAAAATAACAAAAAGATCACCTGCATGTATAAAATGGATACATGTACATGTACATGTACACAGTTAGTTGTTCCGTAGTTGTAGGGACCACAATCCTGATGAGCAATAGTTATATGTACATTGTAGAGTCCAAAAAAGCCAAACCCAAATGTCAGGACTATTGTTTTAGTGAAATTCTGCATGTAGCACTTTAAAAATTTAGGATATGAAAGCCCAATTCATAAGCTTTCTTTTAGTACAAGAATCATTCAAATCACTTATGTACTTTTGAAGTCACGAAATTTTAAACACAACCACCATATTAAAGTTCTGTCCACGGATCACAAGAAGGTAAGTATTCTTTCAGCAAAACGAAAACAAATCACATAGGGATGTGTGTAAATTGTTTTCGTTTTGCTTTAAAGAAAGCACCCTTTTTTGTGATCCGTGGACAGAACTTTAAAATGGTGGTTGTTTTTAAAATTCCGTAACTTGGAAAGTACATGAGTGATTTGAATGATTCTTGTACTAAAAGAAAGCTTATGAATTGGGCTTTCATATCCTAGATTTTGAAAGTACTACGTGCAGAACTTCACTAAAACAATAGTCCCGACATCTGGGTTTCGCTTTTTTTTGACTGGCCCTGTAGAGGAAGTTACGCCCAAACTTGCTGTTGGTCGTAAAAAGTACCGGGTAGACCAATGTTGTGTGGACCCATCAGCACTTGGGAAAAGTTCATTCTTTGCAGTGATCAGGTTCAACTTACAACCAACTCAGTTTGAACTTCAGTGAAAGCACTTTTCTAACAAACAGCAAAATGCAGGGGTGACACGAGGGAGTAGTGGTGGTTTTAGTGTTGTATGCCACCAACTCATACATCTGTATCAATGAGTGATTTATTACAGACTTTACTTGTTAGTCAAATAACGACCGAAAAAGTTAACTTCATCTTTAGCGAAGAAAACGTTAAATTAATCTTTTGTGTTTCAATAGAATTGAGTCCGTCCAGTTCAAACAAATGAATTGCAAACTTGATCCAAACAAGATGTGTTGTATGTCAGATGCTGGTAGATTTGTATCAAAGAGTGATATATTTCAGACTTAATCTGTTAGACAAAATAGGACCGAAACAGTTAAGTTCGTCTTTTACGATCATTGTTCCTTGCGAGTGTTGACATTTCTGAACCCATTTCCTGTCGGAATTCAAATGACTGGCCATCGCTTACCGAGCTTTGTTCAGGCGTTTGGCGGTTTACCCATTTACAGCAATGGAAAAGTGCAACCAGGGTTGTATGATCTTTGATGAAGAGCGACAGTTTTTTTTTCGTGATTTAGAAAACCTTTTCATGCATAGCGCAGTTGAATTGTCATTCTATTTTCAGATTTTTTTCAAAAAGTTTATCCTTACTCAACTGTTTGACCTAAAAATGTGACCTGAAACTATGTAATATCCCCTTGCACAGCAAGGGTCTATGATATTCACACAGATTCGGCGATACATTATGCAAAACAAGACTGCGTCTTGACCTAGAGTTTCTGCCCTTTCAGCGAGCGTCTTCAATCAGGTCTTCCGTAACCCGTTGTTGTATTACAAAAAGTCGGCAGCCAATTGACCAATCAACAGCTTAGTCCACATTTCTGATTGAAATGATGTCACAGCTTCAAAAGTCGACGCCAATTGGCTGACAACTTTGCGAATATGCAGCTTGAAAACTTACTGTGGCATCGCAAATTTGTGTCCCCATTCACTTTCGCGTCGAGTATAAACCGGTCTTCATAGTCCATCTATTGTCACTTGTTGCTGGACTTGTGACTGGACTTTATAACCAGACTTGTGACAGACTGGACTTCAATATTGGACCGCAATAAACAAAAATAATGGTGTAAATATTACTCATATTAAATTTTGGACTTGTCTTTCTCTTATCATTATCTAGGTCCCTGCGCTACGATCCTCTGCGCGTACGGATCAGTGTGTCGCGAGACGAACAATCAGGAAGCAGAGTGTTTTTGTTCCGAGGAATGCCCCGACCTTTTCTCTCCCGTTTGCGGTACGGACGGCGTCACCTACAACAATGATTGCTACATGAAATCATCGTCATGTCGACTGAGGAAGAAGATTACAGTAGCCTCATCTGGGCCTTGTGGTACGTATCATTATTGTGAGAGGGCACTATAACAATTAAAAAGTTACATACGCCTTGCTTTTCCAAAAAGTGTATTTTATTCTAGTTAACAAATTTTCGGTTTGTTTGTTTCAATTAAATGAATACTTAATTCTGGGCATCTGCAACCCTCTTAAAAATTGCTTTCAGTTGTTGCCTAATGAACCAGCCCTGCGAGAGACGAGTTGCTGTTGGGTCACAAATATTTGGTTTCTCTCAATTTTGTAAAGAAATATTTGAGTAAAACCAACGTTAGTGGATTATCTCATTTGATGTCTCATTCAAAGTGAATATTTTTGTTTAAATTGCTAGGAAATTGGAATTAAAAAAAAGGTACAAGTGATTGACTGAGTGATTCGGTGAGTGAAGTCGGTCAATCATGTGTACTTCATGCTTCCCCTGCCCATTCAAACGTGAGGCGGCCCACCTCGCTACTTTTATTGACCACCTCGCTCAATTTTTGCCAATATCACCACCTCGCTGCGAAGATTTGCAATAAAGAAAATACTAGTTGAACATTTATCATTTTGTGCAATTTATGAGCGTTTTCCTTGACCTTTATGTATCAAGAACTCACAATTTGAATGTGTAGATTGAATCATCGCCCATTCTTGTGAGCACTGCATTCTTGTCAGTTTGCAGAGTGCGTAAGTTTTGTTTCAATCATCAGTTTGAATTTTTACCACCTCACTCAGTTCATTAGCCAGGGGAAACACTGGTGAACTTCATGATGCTAGTGTTCACTAAAAGATGCCTATATTTTTTTGGAAGATGATAAATTTCTGTCTCAAAATTGTGACTGAAAACCTTCCTTCACTGTGCAACCAACTCAAAATTGTACAAGAACTGCATACAAGTCAACTTGATTGACACAGCCTGAGGTTAACCTTCCATTTGAGTTATATTACCCTTTTGCCCTTGGGGAATAACTTCATATTATTTTGACAGTGTTGAAATAATCCACTTAATTCCCTCACCCATTGATCTCGGCGTCGTAAATAAGAAAATTGGAAAATTGCTTTTGGCAAAGGTCAGGAATCCAAACAAGAGAATCACTTTCGCTACTTGAAGTTTCTTCAGGAGGGTAGGATGAAGACTCTTAAGATTTTTAGGGTTGGAAGGGGAAGGGCTGGCTTTGGGGTAAGGGGGCTTAGCATCTGCTCCTTTTTTTGAATATATTTTCTCTCTGCCCGCCCATTTTCAGATCTCCAACTGAGCCCCCATTTTCAGCCCCCCATTTTCATAAACATTCCACTGTAATTTCTGGAAAGTAAATGTTAGATACAGTTTATGTCATCTGGTCTCTGAACATCAACATTTGGAGAAGAGAGGAGTGTTTGAAGTCTTGATTTTGTTCTTTATTTGTTCTCTGAACTTGTTGGAGCGCAGGGTGTAGAATACCCCTGACCCTCCTCAATTCTCCTAAGTTCCAGGCACTTTTAGAGGATTTTGGGGATTGAGGGCACATGGACGTTTAGGACCGGTTGATTTTGGAGGATTGAGGATGAATGGTGTTTGAAGAGGAGCATTTTGGAGGATTGAGGCTGAGTGCATTTTGAGAGGCAGGACTGTCGGAGGATTTTGAAGGATTGAGGTACATGTAGTGGGTATCCTTCATTTGAACATAAGTCAAAATCTTAAAGGATTTTTGAGGATTGAGGATGGTTCCTAGCAGAAAGGGCCTGGGAGGAATTAGGGCTAACCTGCAAACACATTTTTTCTTTCAAGAGACAGAGAGATTATTATTTTATGTTTACCCAGATGCAGGGCCTAGAATACACTATTTGGGACCTGCCAAGAGAGGGGGGTGTCTATGCCTCCCCTGTCCCCCCCCCCCCTTGTTTGAATGTAAGCATCTCATCACATGATTCTCTGTTAAAAGAATCAAGTGCTGTTGTTGGTTTTGCCAAAAATGCCTATGGACCAGGAAAGTTTTCAACGTGATACATTAAGTGCCTGTAAAAGAGGTCATGACCTCTATCTTGATAGAGTTGTTGGCTAAGTCCATCACTGGTTCCCTTTATCCTTGATTGATCAGTGCAGTAATCCAGGGTTAAAATCAGAAAATCCTGTGTCTTACCAGCTGAAAAAGGAATGTTTACAAGGGTTTGCAGCCTTACGGTAGCAGGCTAGTGTGTCACTATTTTCCTGGATTTTAAGGTGATTTTTAGGGTCAATTTCAGGGACAAATGAACCGCCTTGAGGTATAGGTCATACAAGGTTAGCTATAGAGCCTTAAAAAAAACGCCCTTATGTCTGCACGGATTTAGACTGGAACTTTTAATGGAGTTCTAAAGTGCTTTGCAATTCAAAGGTCGGCCTGCAAACTTCAGTTCAGAAAAAAAAGTATGATTACTCCTATTTTTTTAACAGCTTGCCATTTCACATTTGTAGTATCCATTACGCAAAGTGCATGTTGCAGTACATGTACTTTTGTGCGTTTATTGATATCCCCGATCATGTGCAGTGCACTGTGTTTAAACCAGAAGTCTGCCCTAAAAAGTTTTGGCCTCTTCCATTATGTTAAGAGGGGTGGGCAGGTACATTTTTCTGTGGTTGAGGGGCTGTCAGTTCCTTTTGCTTTCTCAACTAAAGACATTCAATAGCACATTGTGTGAAATATTTTTTTATGCACATTGATTACTATAAAATTTGCAAGTAGTAACTCTTTTTTTTACCTATTTAATAACGCCTTTGTTACATTTTATTACATGTTATTTATTCATAAAACTCTAAGGGTGGTAGAGGGAGTAAAAAGTTCGGCAGTTTGGGGTGGTACAGAGATTATGGGTGTACCTGTTGCTCAAAGTTTAGCTGAATTTTGTTTTTAAGAAAGCAGTTCATTAATTCTGCCCTTTGTTCTCTACATGTACATGTAAAATGGAATTATAAGTCTGGCTTATAATTGACTGATTGAATAAGAGAATAAATATATGCTGGGCAGGTTTTAAAAAGTGTTAATGTGACCAGCTTTCATAGGAGTCAAAATTTCTTGTGACATGTGTGATACCAGAAAAGTGTTTAAGACCAGCCAGCAGTTGCAGCGTGCATTTTCGAATATCCGAATATTCGGTCAAACGCAGCTTCGAGTAATTGAATACTAAATTATTCGAAAATGGGCAGCCCTACAAAGCTAACAAAATGGCATTCATCACCTTTTTGGAAATAAATCTTCAAATATTAAATCACTGAGTTACATGTAACTCTACTTTATGTAATGGATTTTAGACATGTCATTTCAATAAGTTCTCCCATGTCATGTTCATGTACAAAGAAGCCGTTCTCTTTTTTGGTGGTTATAGCGTGCGAATCACCTGGTTTTCCATTAGATAGCCATGTCAGCTTTACTGTAGAAGTGTCGATAATACATAATTAATGACACGGAGATAACAACATGCAGCTAGGCATGCACGTACATGTTCATTGTCATGCACTGTATAACACTTTGAACTTTTCCCTTTTATGTACATTGCACGTTTAAAGGAACAAAAATGGACACGAAGTGCATGGTCGAGGAGTTACTGTTTGAAAAGGAATGAAATCTTTAAAGGGTTCATCTTAAAATCGAGGGGGAAAAATATAGAATTACATATTTTCCATCCTTAACATTTCGCAAAAGGCAAAATTTTCTAGCAACTTCTGATATACAGCCAAATGCCACAAATACTGATTCGCAAGAGTCATTTCAACAGTATTTGTACGATATTTCTTGCTGAAACCTCATATGTTTCAATATTCTGGGGTGTGCACTGGAATTGTGCACATACATACATGTACATGTAAATTGTAGAACAATAGGCCGTGCACAACGGCCAATTCAAGATCAACACATGGTCAGCCTCCACAGACTTCACAGAGTTTGTGTGTGTGTACAGAATACACGAGGGATTAGCTTGTTTAGATGTCACTGGGAGGCGAGTCCAGGCAATGTTTTAAGCCACCAGCAGTGCCAGTGTATAAAAACAGCCAGTGTGTGTTATCACGTCCTCCTCTGACGCGAACTGGTCAAGGGTCCATGAAGTGAATTTTTCTTAGGAACATATTTTGTGCAACTTTCTACTCCTCTTAAATGTATGAAAATATATGACAACCCTTTTTAGTTAATTTGGTTAAAAAGTGCACGTCTTTAAACATTTGAAATTGTCCATGCTTTTCCAGACAACTGAGGGCGCTGCTGCTGTAATCATTTTAGGAAGAGACTGTTCAGTTTTCGGGTTTTCTGTTGAAATTGTGAACCCAAAAATTTGTGAGAAAGCGTGCTCATTGGCTTACTGCCATGTACTGACACAACAGCGTACATGTATCACCAAAAAAATGGACATTTACGACATTGAAATATCCAAAATTCTGGCAACTTTTTGTGCTAAAATAGCTGTAACATTGAGATTTCTGTCTGAAATGACATCACACTTTTGCTCATGAATATGGAAATTTGCATTAGCACAAAAACAAAAATGGCACGAAAATACTCTTGAAAAATGGCAAAACGAAAATTGAAAATAGGGTAAAATGGGACACAAAGTTGCATTTCCAAGGATGGCATTAAACAAATTACATTGCATGGGCCCTTTAAAAAACTTGTATTCATGTTTATTGTTTTTTGGTAAAAGGATCAATGTGGTATAAGAATCATGTTCAGTGTTCTTTTGAAACTACCGCTTTGTCGGTTTTTCTGACTTCCTAACTTCATTCCCCAAAGCGGTTTATCAAATGAACAAATGATTCTGTGCATGTGCGCATGGTGTATGACTTAAGGTCTTAATACATGTACATTGTACATGTACATGTACTTCGTCTTATTAATGTGCAGTATTACATGTACTATAACTAAAGAGTACATTTGGTAAACCAGACTTGGGTGACTCAAATATTTCTTGAAAGCGCATTGAATAAAAAATTCTCCAAAAATTTCTAATGGTACTCAAACTTTGGGCAAAAGGAAGGTCATTTTCAAATTCCGAGCAGAATTTTTAGGAAAATTGAATAATGAACTAAAGAAAGGGAAAACGTTTTGAGTAAATTTTGTTACTTAATACAGCAGATTTTGGACAAAAGGGAATTTAAACTCGAGGCTTTTTTTCTTAAACTCCCACGCTGTTTTTGGTGTGTCGCAATCAAGCACCATTTGTACAAGAATTGGTGCTTTGTCCACCATTGTTACACTTTCTTCTTAACGTTTTGAGCTTTTTTTTTTTTTTGGGTAGTAGTGTGGGATACATGTCGTGTTGAAAAAAGAAAAGCCGGAGGTTTTCAAGCATTGTAAAGAATCTGGCAAAATAGTCAGGATCAGAGGTGACTTTGCCGCGATGAAACTCAAGCCCGGTGGTTTGAATCGCTGGCCACGGACCGCTGGGCATGGGTAGCGCCTTGACAATGACCGAACAGTAGGCGGCATTTGCCCACACACCTGACACAAGAAAAAGCACCCAGCGCGACGTGAAAGCAATTCCTTTTCTGCCCACCTTGAATCAGCTACCGTTTTTTTTAACACTTCCTTGTCTACAGGGTACAGATTATTACCGACATTGTCGGTGTACCTGACATTGTTCACTGGATCGGTGTTTAGAATACCAGCTATTGAATGGCAAAGTGCCAGCGTGTTTGGATAATTCCGAAACTTGAATATAACAACTCGTTTGTGGTTTTTCTTTTCTTTAGGAGTTTAACTGTTCGTTTTTTTCTGTTGCAGTCTAGTTTCGCTTTTAAGTCATCTAGTACCGGGACTTTATGCGTACATGTATACATGTATAGGGACAAAACATGCAGATGGCTCTTAGTTTATTCTCGAGTCTGATGCCATTGAATCTGGCTGTGGGATGAGTTTACTAGTGAGATCAGTGTCAGGGATTCATGAGGGATCGCATTTGGAGTTGAGAATGCAGACGGTCTGAGGGTGAACCGGCAGTGATGAAAGTTGCACGGCTACACGCATGACCTAGGCAGCGCAGTGTGGTATACAGTGACAGAATTGGATTTTCAAGTTGATGAATCTAACGACATGTCTGCTTGATCCTCCCGAACACATATGCGTTTCTAATCATCGGGGGAGAGAGAATAAGTCCACATCGGAATTCTGTCTGGAAGTAATTTTGTATCTCCGGACCGCGTTCGTTTCTCCTCATTCCTGAAATGGCGTTGTGATTCATCATTCAAACATCTTTGAACCATCTTCAGTTTTGGCTGAACTCTTAGTAGTTGTCATAAAAAGCAAACACTCAGACGTGTCGGCTTCGTATAAACTTTTCAGAATTTCCCATTATACACCAATAAATACACTTTTGGAAAATCCCAGTACCCCAAAACGACATCTTTTTCTTTGCAAGACGAATTTGGACTTAAACCTTTACATTGAAGTAACTTCTGCATTTGTTTTTGAATTCCATGTTGGAAACAATGAATTCTTTGTGAAATATAACCTCAACAGTTGATAAATTTGCTGCATGCCACATTTTGTTCTTTGTTTTGTTTCAAAATACTTCTCAGTGCAGTTTCAACGATTGTTATAGGTTGCTTTTGCATTCAAATATCTTTATGGTCGAGACATCGTGGCTGTATTTGCACAGCAGATATTAACCCTTATCACTTTACTGTGTAATGTGTGTATTTTGGAATATCGTCACTTCTCTAGTTTTTTATTTTACTTCTTCGCTTGTTGGAGTCAGTTTGCCGTTGTTGACCCAATGACAAACATTCGACGCCAGCGTGGGATCAAGTTTACAAGTACCCAGTTGGACTTTGTCTCTCTTTAAACTGTGAAAGGTTTTTGTTGCCCCACGTGCTACGAGACGGATTCGACTTTAGATTACCGTACACCTGGCGAATACACCTGTCCGGAAAACCCCACCCAGCGTAGTTTCGGTGTGGTCTTGATACAGGAGTTTCATTCTTCATCTGTTAAGGCTTCCAAAGGTTCGATACTAAAAGATTAGTATGCCCAACAAACAACGGAACTACCACAAGTGTGTGTTTTCCGTCACAACTTCCACTGCCAGCTGCCTATCAGGATCTTGCCATTCGAAAAAGAGATTTGAAGATTAAAATAGAAAATTCAACGGCTGGGTTGTGCATTTAAGGGTGTAGAAACCGGACCTTTTTCATAACATTGGCTTTGTTCAAAGGTACGGCCATCCTGTTTGCTACTTCAAATCTCCATGATATAAAATCTACATGATTTTGTTTTGTGGGTGTGTATTTCAACTCGCAAGCGGACAATTGACTTTCTTTCCTCGGTGGAAACTGGCAAGTTCATGGGATTAATAGGACGTAATTGAAACTGAGATTGTCTGAGTTGAACGGAGCACTTTTAACCTTTTGCAGCGGTGAAGGGTATGTCAAGCCTTTTCCCCTTGGTCGCTTTGCTCTTCTCTTCAGGCTTGCTCTCCCTGGAGAAAGACCCTCAAGGGAGTCTGGATTGTCGCTTCTCCGTCATCATCTTCATCTGGTGAAAGAAATCTTGCTTCCAGCATCTCAGAGATTGAAACATTGCTCAATCACACTGTCTCCAAGATTTTGGCAAGATACTGTACTCTTGTGTTGCCAGATTGTTTTGGAAGCAACCCTAATACTTTGCTAGTTAACATCAAGTGTTTCTCGTGTGATTCCTGGAATTTTGTTAAACCTGTACTTTGCATTGCCTCCTTATTGATAGGACGTCTTTAACTTCAATGTCCAAGACATTATAACATTGTGATCAATCTACAGTGAAGGATACAGGCAAATTTCTGCCCAGCTGTTATTTTGCCGTATACAGGCCAGACGTCTAGGAATTTCCTCGGCCGGTATTGGACAGCGATAGACGCGTAACCATGGAGACCCTAGCCACCACCGTTTTCACCACCCTCTGTCTTTTGAACCTAGATTCCACGAGCCTGTGCCAGAACAAGCAGTGCCCGTTTGGCGCCGAGTGCATGATCACCCCGGACGGCGCGTCGGCAAAGTGCGTGTGCTCGCAGGAGTGCGACGCGCTGGAGTACAACCCCGTGTGCGGAGGCGACGGGGTGGACTATCCCAACGAGTGCGAGATGAAACGGGCTAGCTGTCTGCAACGGAGAGAGATCCGAATCATCTTCCAAGGGAAATGCAGTAAGTTGGACAAAATTTCCATTTTTCCTTTTTTTTTTTTTTTTGATACAAAAGATTAAAAAAGTTTGTCGATTTCTATAAATTTGGGGTTCATTTTTCCCGTCCTGTTACATTTGTTTACAGGACAAATGTCACACTTTGGACCTATAAATCTATACAATGGCCCATATGGTACATGTATGTATAAAAAAATGTTAATGTTTCAGTAAAAAATTATACCTCATATTTAAAGTTGCTTGTGTTTTTTTGTCAGGAGTTTACATCCATTATGCATGTACATGTACAAGCTTCCATAAAATGCATGTACATAGTCAGGAGTGAATTAAGTTGTCCGTTATAAAGTTTGCCAGTAAATTGTTTGTTTTACAACTTTCTCTTTTAGATCCTTGCGCAACGGCCAACTTTGATCGTAACGTCGCTTGCAAACTGAACAGGAACCGTCAGCCAATCGCGGGCTGCGTCTTCGACTGCGAGGAGTTGCCAGGCAACCCTGTCTGCGCTTCGGATGGTCAGATGTACGAGTCGGAGTGCCTGATGAGGAGAGTTGCTTGCCAGTCTCGGTTTGAGCTGTCTGTCCATGAAGAAAGCTACTGCATGCCTGGAACATGTGAGTCTCATATCGAACACATTTTTCAGAATCAAATCATTGATTTTTTTCAGGGAAATAAGTTATCAAAAAGTGTGTGAAATAAGATATTATTATCATTTGTAATCCAGATATGGTTTTTGAGGTTAACTTCCAAAACATTTTCTAAGTACTACATATTCTGGGACCTTTTTCTATCTAGTTAAAATGCAGTAACAGCGACATGCATACATTAACAATTATGTTTTTTGGGAGTATTTCAGTCCAATGTTGAACAAATTTGAAACACTGGATTTGATTTTCACTGAATGCTGTGGAAATAGTCGATCACTATTCAAGCACGAGTCAAACACAAATCATCCAGTCTCTAGTCACGAGCTATTGAAATGAACTACATTGTATGTGACATTTCTTATTTTCCTTTGTTCATCCTGTTACTTACATTTGTATTAATTGACTTGTGATTGACCGGTTACTGACTTGTGACTGACAGGTGACTGACATGTGATCGTTTTATGACTGACTTGTGACTGACTTGTAACTGAGTTGTGACTGGCTTGTGAGTGACTTGTGATTGACTTGGGATTGACTTGTGATTGACTTGTGACTGACTTGTGATTGACTTGTGACTGACTTGTGATTGACTTGTGATTGACTTGTGACTGACTTGTCTCTGACTTGTCTCTGACTTGTGATTATCTTGTGACTGACTTTTCTCTGACTTGTGATTGACTTGTGATTTGACTTGTGATTTGACTTGTGATTTGACTTGTGTGATTAACTTATGACTGACTTGTGATTGACTTACCATGGACTGAATTAAACTTTCACTGGAAACTGTCTTTGAAAATTCCAAAATATAAGGCTAGACACAATATGAACAAACATTTTTACAGTCGCATTTTACTTAAGGATTTCTTTTACATACATGTACATGTACATATACAGGTACATGCAGCTTTTTGAGTACAGTACTAGATATTTTATTTTATTTTATTTCATGACGTCACATTTTTGGTGTCAATCAGTCATACATGTACCTGATTTTTAATCAGTGCATTGCTAATAATTTAACATAGTGATTTAGATGCAATGATTATGGCATCATTTTTCTCCAATTCTTAGCCCCGTGTAACAGCTTCCAGTGTGAGTTTGGCAAGTGTATCTTGAATCTGGAGGGTAGCCCCACCTGCGCATGTATCAGTAGCTGTCCTGACATCTACGTGCCTGTCTGCGGCGGTGACGGGGTCACATATTACAGTATCTGTCACCTTCAGAAGGAGCAATGCCTGAGAAGTGAAGCCATTCATGTGATTGCTAATGGACCATGCTGTAAGTATTCATATTTAAAAATGTGCACCTGTATATACATGTAGCTCCTCCATGTAGGTTTCCCAGCTATTTTAAAATGTTTATCATTCTAATTCACTGTTTCTAATATTCAAATTTGTTCATCACCATCGTTTGATTGCACTTGCATCAATGTTTAATTACCAGACAATTTGCCAGACAATTTCAAATTCAGTTCAAGCAAATTTAAACAATGAGCACACCTTTTCGTCCCAGAGTATTCGATTTTGTCTCGTCTATGCCAAACCTTGTTATTCAGAAATCAAAATCATCTAATTGATTTTTGATCTCTGAATGCTGCCATTCGGCACCAGCTTAGACAAATTTGATCTGTAATGACGAATATTCTCGACTCGGTGACTAAAGAGGGTGACCAAACTTTGAAATTGAATGGTAAATGACAATTGGTTTCGTTAAAAGCATATGAAATTTTCTTGGACGAAATTGAATGTTGGAGTTCGCGAATTTGAATGAAAAATGTTTTAACCCTAAAGGGGCCGGGGGGGGGGGGGGGGTGGATTCCGCCCCCCCTCAACATTTTCCGTGATAGCCTCTAAAAAAATTTTTTTCGCGACCCGAGCTGTTATGACTTTTTAGCCTCGAGCTTTGCGCATACCAAAAACATAAAAATCGGACCACGGGTTGCCGCGTAGCGAAAAAATTTCCGGCGCTACGCGCCGTGAAATCTGAATTTTCGCATATATGTCGTGTACACAGAGCAGAATTGCCATTCGTACATATGAATAATTAATTAGCCATAATTCAAAAACCCTTTGACCTATAGTCATGAAATTTCTTGGGTATGTTTAGGAAGAGTTGCTCTATGCATGTGCCGAGTTTCAAAATTTTTCGTCACTCGATGGCCGAGATCTTAGGGGGGGGGGGGGCGGAATCCCCCCCCCCCCAGCCCTGGCTGAGAGATGGTCAAAATAACCCAACCTACCGTATATTAGACACATGTAGGCCACATTTTTGAGCCAGTGAGGATGCTGTACAATGTAGCCATGCCATATTAGAGATACAGACGTGAATTCAAGGTTACGGCCCAAACTATAAAAGTTCAAAAATTACATTGGTGTAATCGCGAAGATCTAAATAAATTGACCAACAACTACGTTAGTGTTTTAAATCTTAGTAAGTGTACATGCAGCTCCGTGTGTATTGGATAGGCTATATTTCTGAGCAAGTGAGGTTTAACCGGCCTAACATTTTTATAATCTTTAATCTCGTGATTATAATGGACCATTTGTTTAGTAGAAACAAACTTTGTATTTTGAAGCTTTGTAGTGTACATGTTGCAAACCCTTAATGTCAATTTGGTTTACAAACTTTGCAAAATTGGCAATTTTAATTAGCTGTTTTTCCCTTCAAAATTAAGAAATGAATAAAATGGAGCACATTTTATGACAGGCATGCAACATTTCCTCAGATCCACTGATTTCCTCGTTTTTTTACATCACATGAATGCCATTGCAAATTGAAAAATACTGTACAAAGTCTTTTGTGGTATGTAATTTTCTCCTTTTTTTCTAAATTCCCAGTTGCATGCCTGTTATGATATCTGACTCATTTTGAGTCACATGTGTATAATTAGAGTCCTGAAGAAACAGGGTTTGTTATTATTCCATCCACCCTTTTGTCCATGGTTTACAACTTTAACCTTGTGGCAAAACCCTATTAAAATCTGTGGTTTTGGGCCATTAAAAGGTTCCAAAAGTGAAAGTATAACTTTGGAATATCCATTGAAACTATCAAGCTTTGTGCATTGTTGCATTAAAAATATCCCTAGGTGTTGAAATGGATGGAATACAGTGTAAAATGTTGTGGTTAAATCAATTAGGCATGAGATTTTTTACAAAAGTTATGAGTCGATAAAAAATTAGATTTTAAAAAGCCTGCAGTAGAAATACTAGATTTGAAGGTAGTTTTCTGAAAATTGAACATTATTACCATCAAAGAGTTTTCAAAGATTGTGTCCCATTGAACAAGCACAAAACAATATTTTTCATAAATACTTATATAATATTGATTGGCTTTGAGGTCGATACAAGAATATATTGCACGAGCTATGACAATATTGCACAAGTCAAAAACGAGTGTAATAATATTGTCATAGCGAGTGCAATATATTTTTGTATCCCCTCTCGAAAAAAACAAACATCCAATATTACTTTTTATCTATATCAGGCTGATTTGATTCGCAAGAAATACAATTCAAGACCCTGTCTTCTTTTCTCCTATTTAGTCAAACTATTTGAAGCTACCATTGTGATTATTGACAACAGTGCGAGTACACCTGGCCTGCGGCGCGCTGCGTGGGCATCCGTGTTCGACAGTACAGCGCGCTGTGCTTTGTTGACTGGTTGACAACTATTAGTTTCTACGCTCTTGATCGTGCGGAAACTTTCGAAAATGCCAGGAAGAAGCTTTTGAGGGCACCCAGACAATATCAAAAGTAACATTGTCTGCAATCCGGTACTTTTACTGACAATATTGCTGTCATCCGGGTACGTTTTACAAAAGCATGCAATACGTTGATTTATTTCAACCGCTGGAAGCCTGATATAAATAATAATGTCAAATATAACAATACGTCAGTGGATTGTGTAGGTTTGTACATTACTGGGAAGGAAGGGGATGGACAGATTTTGTGAGCACTATAATTATACCGAAGTCTTATATAGTGCACATATCTACCAACAATTAGGTACTCAAGGCGCTGGAAATTATGTCTATTATTAGAGACGGGTAAATGAAGTACATGAGAAATAATGAGAACCATTATGTAGCACCTTTATAAGGGTTTAACAAGGTGTTTCGGCGCATTAAGCCCTGAGCCACTGCCAGAAACACTGGGGCAAACCCCTTCTCTTAGCGATAAGTGTTACTGGGTTCTTTAACCTACGTTACACAACACACGGGACCTACGGCTTTATGTGCCATCCGAAGGACAATCAATAATGGTAAAGTGCCTTGCTCAAGAGCACAGGCACCATGTTCCCACGGTCAGGATTCGAACCCATGTACCACAGCACATGAGTCGTACACCGTAACCATTGGACCACAGCACCCCACTATAGGACCTTCACTGTCTCCATGTCCATGAACATTTGACCAGGTTGCAAATGACAAAACCATTCCACACAACTGTCATTCCAGATGTTATGGTTGACCTCAGTGACCCGACCTTTGACCTTATAACTCCCCAGCCACCTCACTTCCTGTACTCTAATTTGGTGTTGAAAGAGTTTCCGGTGTCTGTCTCTCTGGAGACCCATGATCTTGAAATAGTAGTTAATCCTGACTATTTAGAGAAACATTGACGCACTGTCCCTTGAGAAATGCTAGTAAAAGTCTTGGAAATTTTTGTGGCCATTTTACATCTGTTACTACTAATTGCAAGCTAAACAAGGAATTTGAACTTTTAAGATTGATGACTTTGTGAAAGAAATGGTAAAATTGGAAAACCGATTGACCTGTCCAAGTTTGTTTGGCTGCTTTCAATAGATTTAAATTTAGATTTAATGCAATGCCCCTGGAGAACTATTCCACTTTGGTTGATATTTTTCATGCAAATTTCCAGTCACTTTTGAAGTGAATTCTTAAACTCTATCCCTGTCACATTTTAAAGGTAGGGTAGATCTTTTTTTTTCATTTGAAGCAACCAAAGTGCTCATAGTCTATAGACAGGTGCTTAAGTAAACAACTAACTCGATGAAGTTTTAGCTCTGTGAATGCTGTATATTCCAAGAAAGACAATATTCTAGGATCTCGTTTTCAATTCAAAATTTGCAGGATTGAGGCAGTGGTGCACCCCTCCAAGGACCACATTCAAGAAATAATGGATGATTTTTGAGGATTGAGGCTGCATTCTAGCAAAAATGCCTGGGGAGTTAGGGTTAACAAATGCTCAATTAAGCCTTTCCTCTGTCTAGTAAAATTTGTTTGGAGTGCTGTGGCCTCGTGGTTAAGGGCTTTGGATTTGTGGTCTGCGGGTAATTCTGCTGGTTGTGGGTTCGAGTCGTGCCTGGGGTCATGGTGCGTGTGCCTTTGGGCAAGGCACTTTGCCACTCATTGCTTCTCTCCACCCAGGAGTAAATGGGTACCTGTGAGGGCAGAGATGGTTAAATTGTGTTTGAATTAGCTTCCTTGCGCCTAGTAACAGGCAGCATCAAGCTGTATAGACCTTTATCATGCTGCCACCATTTTAGTCATGTTCTTTGTATCCAATAACAGTACTGAATGATAATGCTTTCGTGCACAAAGGAACTAGACTATTTCTCTTTCCAGCCTCGCTTTGGTTACGTTGATTTGAATGGGGAAAAAATCATGATGGCTGCAACATGATTAGGGAGCTGAGATGGTATTTGGAATGTTTCATGGGCCCATGGAGCAGGGGTAATAATGATGTAGCGCCTTGAGCACAGTCCTGGTGGATACATGTGCTTTATAAATAACCACTATTATTATTCTTCATTTCTATGTGGCAGTAAACCAATCAGAAGGCTTGTGCAGTTCTGTCCGTTGCGCCTATGGTGCCATATGCCTGGTAGTCGATGGTAGCCCTACGTGCTCATGCGATAGGATGTGTACAGATGAGGACAGCCCGGTTTGTGGCACCGACAAAATGACGTACGGTAATGCGTGCTTACTGAAACAGGCTGCGTGTGAACAACAGAAGGATATTCAAGTCGAGCTAGAGGGTCTCTGCAGTAAGTATTGATATTTTCATTTTTAAAATAATAATTAAAGCAGAATATTTGTATAACGGATGTGAGATTTAATTTTCAAGATTTTTCCAGATTTGAAAAACAAGTTGTCAGGATTTTTCCCGATTTCAGGATTTTTTTTCTGATTGAAGGACGTTTCTAATCCCTTTTGAAATCTGGAATACCTGATGTTTTATCATAAGAGTTTTTTTAAAGGGTTCATGCAGAGTAATTGTTTGAAGGAAATCTTTGAAAAAGCACCTTGGTTTTCCTTTTAACTTTATTTTCAATTTTTGTTTTGCCATTTTCAAGGGTAGTTTGGTGTCTTTTTAGTTTTTATGCAAATACAAATTGCCGTATTCATGAGCAAAAGTGTGATGTCATTTCAGGCAGAAACCTCAATGTTACAGCTATTTCAGCACCAAAAGTTGCCAGAATTTCGGATATTTCGCTGTTGTTAAAAAAATATTTTCTGTGATGATTTGTTGTGTCAGTACATGGCTGTAAGCCAATGAGAAACATTTCTCTCAGATGTTTTCAATGAGCAAATTTTTTGGGTTCACAATTTGAACTGAAACCCCGTAAATTGAACAGTGTCTTTCTGAAATGACATCACAGCAACAGCGCCTCAGTTGTCCTGAAAAGCATGGAAAATGTTTAAAAAAGTGCACTTTCAATAAAATAAATCAAAAAAGGATGTAAAATAAAAAAAGAAAGTTAGTAGAGAATTGCACAAAATTTGTTCACGAGAAAAATTCATTTCATGGGCCCTTTAAAGGGAAGATACAAATTTGCAAACATCAAAAAACGAAATGACCAAATTATCATGAAATATCTTACTGGATTGGTAAGGAATGACGGTCTAAAGAACCTGTAAATTCGTGGCTCCTGGTGTGCTGACATTTTCAAGAAAACTTGTATTTTTCCAACGCTGGTCGGCCAACCAGCATTGGAGAATACTGACTTATTTTCAAAAATTGCTCCTAATTTTTCATATTTAGTTATTCCACATTTTCTTTGCAATTGATTTCACACCTGTGAAGAGGTACAAGCCTGCCAGACTGATTCTATGACCTTACAACTCCCCAAAGTCTACTAAGTGCTCCGTTCATCTTAAGTGGGGTCATGGAATAAGACTACAAGAACATGATTGTTTTTTTTTTTTTTTGGTTTTTCCAGCATCTACAAGCCCAAAAAGTGAAACAAGTCAGTTTAACAATATTTGCTATAACATTCTAATCCTCCAAATCCATTTATTTCTGAAAATTGCAGCAAAGGCAAATGTTGTTCATTCCCTTTAACCCATGTACATGTACATAGAAGTTATAAATCAAGAGCTGCAAAGCTTGATTTTTTGGGGGGCCTTGGGGCAAATTTGTACCACCTTTTACCCTTGTAGCTCTAGGGGCCTCGGTCGCCCTCAAACTATCCACCAATATTTATTAAAAACAATTTTCTCATTAAAGAGTACTATTCTGTATTCTTAAAGTGAAATACAATTGAATAGAATCGTATGCACTCAGGAACCCGCTTTACTAGGCTTGCATTGTCTTGTTTTTAACAAAAACTTTCCCGCAGATGGCTGCGAGTTCTACAACTGTGAGTTTGGCGCCATCTGTGAGATGGGAGCAAAGGGTCCCCAGTGCGTCTGCCCGGAGGAGTGCGTCGATTTCGACTCGCCGGTCTGCGGTTCGGATGACGTCACTTACCCCAACGAGTGCGAGCTCAACGTGCAGGCCTGTAAACGACAAGAAGTGATCACTGTGGTATCACAGGGTGAATGCGGTAAGTTTCCCATTGATGGATTCAGTTTGAAATTATCGAAAATCTAGAAAGTTATCTTGCATTGATTACTTTTCTTATGAACAAAGAAAAGACACATTTGAAGAAAAAAAAATCATCTTTTGGCTAATACACTCAACAAAAACAGAAAGTCCCCCCCTCCAATACTTTTTTGTCCAACTCAAAAACTACTGGGCACATCTTGCTCAAACTATGACTGATCAGTTTAGAAATTCTTTAGCAATCCAGCCATACTCTTTGTTTGGCCCAAAACAGTGATAATGTGTACGAATTTATGCAATTTATGACAAATGATACGGAAAACAGTTGCACTTTTGTATACGTGCAAGTTGAGGTTCACATTCACCTTGCACGCATACAAAAGTGCAACTTTTTTTCTGGTACCATTTGTCATAAATTACATTATCACTGTTTTGGGCCAAACAAAGAGTATGGCTTGATTGCTAAGGAATTTCTGTACTGATCAATCGTAGTTTGAGCAAGATGTGCCCAGTAGTTTTTGGGTTATAGACACAAAAGTATTGGGGGACTTTCTTTTTTGGTTGATTGTATCTGGAGATTGTGGGTTCCAGTCCAACCTTGGTTTATGGTGCGTGTGTTCTTGGGCAAGACACTTTTCACTCATTGCTTCTCCCCACTTGGGAGTAAGTTGGTGAGGGCAGGGATGTGAGGCTATGAGGGCAGGGATGGTTGGGTATTCAATCTAGCCGGTTGCATCAATAAGGCACCATCGAGCTGTCTGGGCTCTGTGCGCCAACAAAAGAGGGCACCCTTTTACCTAGCAATGATGTCCAAAGTGCAGGACACATATATTTAGCTGGTTTACGAGCGCGCACCGTTCCTTGTGTATGACGCACGTACACCAGGGGATTTGTACAATGTACACGCAGTGGCCGCGCTTGGCGGCAAAATATTGCAGTCAGGCAAGATGGCGTCGATCAGTCACCCCCAACTGTACTTTCTTTGCCGGTGACGGGGTACTTGTGAACGGAGCGGATACTCCCCAGGGAACTGAGATGGTCTTTGGAATGTTTACATTGGCTTGATAATCAGGGGTAATAATATTCAAATCAATTAAGTAAATTAGTCCATATTATTATTGAATGGGTAAATTCTTTTGTCTTTCAGTTGAGTGTGAGGGAGTCAAGTGTGAGTACGGTTCCATCTGCAACCGTGGCCAGTGTAGCTGTCCAACATGTGCGGATGTGCAGCAGAGAATCTGTGGTACCAACCAGGTTACCTATCAGAGCGTGTGTCATCTCAGAGCTGAGATGTGTAACGAGAGAATCCGGATTGCGGTGGCGTTTGACGGTCCCTGCGAAGATAGTGGTACAGTCCAAATTTTATACTGTTTAAAAAATGCTGATATAATTTGTATATCAAAAATTGCAGTTATTTCTCTTGTTAGGGGGTCCAAAAGTTTTCTTCATTTTGGTATTTTTTATTATTATTTCTTCCGTTATTTGTCAGTTGACTTCAAAACTGTGAAGAATCAGATGTTCTCACTTTTCTTTTTAAGATATGAGGAAAATGCTAGTTGGAGGTTTGAGTCTTTTAGAAATTCGTTGAAGGCTGATGTTTGGATTTGTGAAGTGTTGAAGGAGTTGAGAGATTTTTTTTGCTTTTTTTTTACATGGCTCTACAACCAAATTTTATGTGTCTTTAAAATATAAATGTTCAAATTCCATTAGAGATATTGTTTTTAATCAGTATTGTTATACATGTAGTTAATCAATTGGGCATATAAAAGATGTTTTTTTTTCGCAAGGTCAGTATTCGAAAATCAGATAATAACCCTTGGTTCAGAAGCTAACGTAAGTTGCAATTTGTCAACAACAGCTGAAATATCTGGTTCGGGTGCGGGCAACGACACCGATGTGGATCAAGAAGGAGGCGACGGGGACCGGTTAGACTACACCCGAGAGTGCGACGAAGCCATGTGTCAGTTTGGCGGGACCTGTGAATTCATGACCAACGGGAACTCCTACTGCTCCTGCATAATGAACTGCCCGGCCACGCGGTTACCGGTGTGCGGGTCAAACCAGGTCACATACGGCAGCGAATGCTTGCTAAGAGAAGCGTCTTGCGAACAGCAGAAACCCATATATGTCGAGAGCCAAGGATCCTGCGAAGGTAATTTCATTTCCTTGTAACTCCTTATTTGCATATTTAATTACCATATTTTTTTATAGACCTTGAGTGGTACATAGGATAATTTGCCTTTTGTGCAACTTTTCGGTTGAAGCCTAAAGTAGGTTGTGTAACAACTAAGGCCTAGTAAAAAATTATACCACTTTTCAAAATTTGCAAAATATATTGCAAATGGGAAAGAATGTAGCATCCTTTTTTATCATATATTATCTCAATGAAGGTCAGTTATTGCAAAAATGTTGAAAAGACATGAATCTTGGACTGAGAAACATTTCCAATTTTGTTAGAAAATACTTTGAAAATGCACTTGACTCTCCATAGACTTTGTACACAACCAAAGAAGTGGCGTCGGGATACTACATTCTTTCCCATTTGCAATATATTTTGCAGATTTGTCAATATATTGTCTATTTATTGGTTTCCAACAAAATTGTAGCTATGTAGAAATCTGGGTGACAGCTCCTTTTTAGACACAATTTTGTATCAGCAAATTAGTCGAGATAATGGAATCTGCCATCTTGGAAAATCTGCCTTCTTGGGGGGGGGGGGGGGGAAGGGGCCGCCTTTTTCAAAAAGTCGGGACGAGGCTAATTTTTTTACTCGACCTAACCTGTTGAGGTTTCAGCTCAGTGGATACTATACATTTTTCAGAAAACAGGCACGACGGGGAAAACGCATTCACAATTTTTTGGTCTCGTAACTGGATTCCGTTGCTAACGCAGCAATACTGTTTAGAAACCTCCTTTAAGGAAGTGCACACATATACATGTACATGCTCATTCCACATGAGAACACGGTTTATGAATAGTACTGACAATATCAGAGTTTTCGAGATGCTGCCATTCTCAGGTCAAAGGTCAAGTCCCATGCAACAGCACTCTCAATTATATCTGTCTCCTTCAGATGTTGAGATGGAGCCCTGCGACGGGGACAATCCTCTTCTGGTTCCCAACACCATGGAGGAGTATACCTGCTCGGAGCAAGGCGAGGAATGTCCCTCCGGCAGCTACTGTCACATCCATCCGCTCCGCAAGTTTGCAGTCTGCTGCCCAGGTAGGTTCTACACAGCTCCATTACTAGATAATACTCATTGCTTTAATTTTACCTTCAATATTGTCTCATAGGCATATATTGACCAGCTTTGAGGGCACTAGTGCTTGACTATTGCCCTGTCCAAAACAGGTATTGTTGTCTAAAGTCTACAGCCATTCAGTATAGCATGTCATTAGCCAAAATCTGAGCCAAGCTCCAAAATTCCCAACTTGGAAAAGGCTTTTGTTGCCCAAGGACTGTGAATGAACCAAAAGAGGGCAATATTTGCGGAGGGTAAAGCCAGAGGGAAATAGCGCCCTCTTGTGGTCACCAAGACGCCAAAACATGCCACTCGGATTTCATTGTCAAGATCATGCATGATGAATGCTAAATACTAGAAATCAACTTTTCTCACATTTTTCTTAATTACCTTATTTTAGTATTAAAAGTGACCAAATGCATGTATTCAGATGGTAATTTAATACATTAGCTGTTTTCATACATGTTTAGAATAACATTTTAATTAAATCATGCATGGTTTGTGAACTCATTACTATTTGTAATCTGAAAGATGTCATTTAAACCCAGGGGTGAAGTGGGGGTGGTTTGGGGGAGGGGTTAGGGTCAGGGAGGAGGGTCACAGTGGGTGCTGACTTGATGAAATTTCTGATATTAAACGCCAGTTCTTTCTGGCTTTTTTGTTTTACATGCAAGTAATGTATAAATTTCCTCCTCCAAACAAGCCGACAAAAATTTGCTGCAATTTCTTGAGTTTGAAAATTTGTGCCTTGTCACAGCAGTCAGAAAATGTTTTTTATTTGCAACCATTTGAATTTTTTTATTTAAATGATGGTATCCAATGATACTGTGTTTTTTTGTTGATTTGTGGATATGTGCACTGGTTGCCACTTCACAGCACAGCACTTTTTGTTTTTATGATTTTTATGTATTGGTTTGAATCAGAATCTTAATCGATGACAGAGATTTGTTTGGGAGATTTTCAAAATCTTGAACGTTTTGTTTCAATGAAAGGGCATCTTAAATCGTTCCCATATTTCCCTGGAATATATATATTTATAAAAAAAAAAAACATGCAAGAATTTAAGGTGTTTGCAAGTTACAAGTTATACATGACGAATGTAATTCAGGATTCCTGAAAATAAAAAATAAGATGAAAATGAAATCAAGAAATGTGTTGAATTCAGGAAAAGTGACTAAAAACTAGGTTTCTTGTCATTTCAAAGCTATTTTTTTCAACATTAAGATCTAATAGATATCAATCCATGGTTCATCCTTGGAATATTAACTCTAAACCCCAGACATTTATTTACATGAAAAAAATCATTACCTTGACACAGTTTCATTTTATAATTTTAACTCATTCCAGAATAATCCACTCATGATATTCTGTTAGCCAATCAGGAGTATTTGCCAGCTCCAAGCATGATTCTGATTGGCTGAAAATACTCTTGGTTCAAAGGTCACCATTATGTAATTATAACATTAACCAATCATGAGTGTTTGCCATGTTCAGGCATGATTCTGATTGGCTGAAAATACTCTTGTTTCAAAGGTTACCATCACGTAATTATAGCATTAGCCAATCATGAGTATTTGCCATCTTCAGGTATGATTCTGATGGGCTGAAAAATACATATACTTACTTGGGTCAGGGGTCACCATTAAAAATTAGCCAGTGATGAGTATTTGGCAGCTCTAGGCTTGATTCTAATTGGCTGAAAAATACATATACTTACTTGGGTCAGGGGTCACCATTAAAAATTAGCCAGTGATGAGTATTTGGCAGCTCTAGGCTTGATTCTGATTGGCTGAAAAATACATATACTTACTTGGGTCAGGGGTCACCATTTATAATCATGTAATTATCCAATTAACGTCATTAATTTCCTAATACAACGATTCACATGGAGCATAATAAACAGTAAAAAACCGGAATGTATGTGTTCATGAAATTTAACGAACTAACCAAATAATCATCATTTTTCCTTCCTTTTTCCACTTTTCTGGACAAATTTTGTGTCTTGTCGTTCTTTGCATCCTTCACCCCGTCATTTTGGACGTGTCGTTACTCGCATCTCCCCTCACCGTCACTGGAATGTTTCCCCACACACCGTTGGCCGACACCCATGTTGTTAATGTTGTTTCCATAGTTACCAGAGGTTTGTGTTTTCAGAGTTGTCGCACTTATTTGCGCTCAGAAATGGAAACTTGTGTGATTTGGTTTGGGTTTTTATTGGTCGTTAATGCTAGCATACATGTACATGGTGGTGTGAGGTCAATTTAACCCTAACCTATGTGTAACATTTTGCAAATCCACTGAAATGTCTTATCAGGTATGGATTATGAGTAAGGATGATTAGCCTCCCAAGGTATAATGATTATTATTGTTGTAAATACCTCACTTTTGAAAAAGACATCGACCAGGAAAAAAGTCCATGTTTAGTTAATGAATCATTACTTTACAAAAGTCAAACAATGTTTTAAACTAATTCTGTTTTTGTGGAGACAACTGCTTTCTGCCCCACAATCAGTATCGAAAATGTATGGACCGGGAACCATCTGCTCGCAAGGCAGATTGGTTGTGCCCTACATAAAATCTGTTTTCAGAAGTTGCAGAAAAAAGGGGGGTGGAGGAGTTTTTAGGTTTGAAAAAAGCAATTTGAAAATTTTATTACTGGAGACAAAATGGATTTGTTGAGGAGCGAGGGTGATTCAACTTTAATCTCTGAAGCGATGACCAAACAACTTAAGAACACAACGCGCATAATCAGGCAGTTTAAGGGCAGTCTATATTTCTACGTAAAGTTTCAATGCAAGGCAAATTTACACAATAATGGCGAACATTATTGATGATGTCATGAAATTCACCTTGCTTTTGCATGTGTGTGAAGTACACGTCTAAACTTGCCCTTATTCTGAACACAGCCGAACCAGTCCACAATTTTCCATTTCTAGGGTGTTTTAATTCATTTGTGTGGTTACATTTATTAACGCCATCATTTGCATCAGTCGTCTCATTGCATTCATTCTTTGTTCAGTCATGTTGTGCATATGCATGCAGTAGTTAGTAGTAATCCATGTACATGTATAAACACAATTTTGTTTTTCATTGTAGATAGGCTAATGTATAACTTGCATTGTCATTATGGAAATGGTATGTTTGTGGCTAAAGATATTTTGCATCCAAAGCGATATAAGCGATATACATGTAATTTACATTCATATTATTGTTTTATTTTGAACATTTTTTTCTTGTCGTCTGCCTGGCTATTAAACGCTGTACACATTTTGTGTGTCATGGAGCAGATGAAACTCCCTGTTGAAGTTTCGTAGTGATGCTGATATGCAATGCTTTAAATTGTCAAAGTGATTTTTTTTGGCTGTTGATGTAGCTAGTGCATACTGGTAGATGCTCTAAAGTTTGCTAGTGGCTGCAAAATTTGTTTGGGAATGTGTGAATGCAAGTTTAGATAAGCTTTGTGCTTTGGCAAAGTGCCACAAAATTGCTTGCTTCTGTTTGGTGATACAGGTAGTGGTAGATATTTCACTGTTATAAAAATACAGATCTAGTTTTGGAATACGGTAAGATAAAGTTGATGATAAAGTTCACAAAGTTTGAAGAAAAAGATTTTAAAGCTGTGGCATTAAGAAACCTTTCTTGAGACTTTTTTTGTTGGGGGGGGGGGGATGGAGTTGCAAATGTTAATTAAATACATTCACATAGATTCATTTATCTCCAAATCCAACAAAATTTGTAATTTTATTTACACTATAAAGATTTTTCTGACTTTTCTACCATCATGACCATGGAAGGTAACATTTGGGCAATTCCAGCGTTATGAAAGGAAGTGTAATGTCCGTAACAGAGCCAATTAACCATGATATCTAATGAATGATTCAGAGAAATGATCCAAAACTCCTAGTCTGTAATCTCCTGGACCATTTCTAGATTATTGATGACAAAGATTAGAAAAATATACCTTTAGGTTTATTCTCTGCGCTCTTTAACGATCTGTTACGGACATTACATAGTGCTGGAATTACCCATTTATCTGTTGACCTTGATTTCGAAAAAACAACCTACAAAGTTTCACAACATGCGATAACGATTGACTGTGAGAAATGCCTTCTGATGAAACCTCCACAACTGTCACAGCATTTTCAGACAATTGTGTCAATTTATTCATGCCATGTGTTGGCAGCTTTATAGCAAGAGTATTTGAAAAAAATTCTCTTAGAGGAAACATTCTAAAGATGAATTTCCCAATTTCTTTTTTATTGTCGGGTCACGCTACTGAGCAAAGATCAAAAGTTTTTGTGCTTCATTTAGAAATGCCAATTTCTCGAACTTGTAAAGGTAGAGTACATCATTTGCAGCTATCCAAAAAGTAACTGACAAAAATATTGTTGAAAAGCGTACTTGGTTATAGCAATGGCACTAAACTCCCTGTGAAATTATTCTTTCTGGCATGCTGTCATTTTGAAGAAAACAATAAAAAGTCATTTCCAAAGATGCGTCTGAAGATGCTTGTTTGGAAATTTCCGTTAGTAGTTCGTTTGTTATTTGGAGAAACTGTGAATAAGTGCATGAACTTGACACGACACACATGCACGCGCAGTTGCTTTTATTCGTCAGTTCAGTGCATGACATTGCGTAGCTGCATTGGCTGAATGAGTCAATAAAAACGTGTCCTGGACGCTGATTTCGGACGCAATTCAAAACATGACTTGGCTACTTTTGAATTGAAATTGAGATCCTAGACTATTGTTTTCTCAGAACATACAGTATTCACTGAGCTAAAACTTCATCTGGTTAGTTGTTGAGCACCCTTCTTCAGATTTTGAGCGCTTTTGTTGCTTCAAACAAACAAAATTCACAAATGACTAATGATGTGTTCTACCTTTGCCAAAAAGTAGAATCACTGGTGCCGTATGTACTTTGTGATTTACCACGGTTTTGGAAAATCACTTCACATAAATGTTAGTGCTATTCCAGCTATTGAAATCTCCTAAGAGTTGGTTGGTAGTTTAAGAAATCTGGGTTAGCATAGAGAGACGCTTATTCATCAACTCAGAATGCTTGGTAATGGGATTTTTATTCAGTCAGCCATTTTTAGAATAGATAGTTGGCTAGCTCATGTATAGACACATAGCTTTATTGCCGTTGCTATTTCTGGATTAAAAAGTATGCACTACAATGCCAGTATCATTGTTAAAACTTTGATGTTTTTCTTGAATAGACCTTTTGCATAGCAGCCATCTTAAGCCAATGCTCTTGTTCCAGTAGACATGAGACAGCCTCCAAGATGGCTGCCATGCACAAGTTTTTATTCAAAATTGCAAAGAAGATCAAAAAGATTTTACCAACAGTGGGCCTGTTGAGGATCAACATGTCCGCAGCTTATCTCAGATATTTTAAGGGCTCATGACAAGAATTTTACATGTGAACACATTTTGTGCAACTTCTACTCCTCATAAATGTATGAAAACTGTTTGACATCCCTTTTGGTTAATTTGATTGAAAAGTGCACTTCTTTAAACATTAAAAAAATGTCCATGCTTTTCCTGACAGATGAGGGCGCTGTTGCTGTGATGTCATTTTAGGAAGACACTGTTCAGCTTAGGTTTTTTGGGGTTCAAGTTGCTAACCCAACAATTTGCTCATTGAAAACATTTGTGACAAAACTTTGCTGGTGTGGCTAATGCAATGTACTGAAACAACAACGAATCTCCAAAGAAAAGAAAATTAACGAGAGCAAAATATCCAAACTTCTGGCAAATTTTGGTGCTGAAATAGCTGTAGCATGGTGGTTCCTTGACAGAATGACATCACATGCACCTCTGCTCCTGAATATGCAAATTCTCATTAGCATAAAAACTACAAACGCAAAATGTAAATTGAAAATAAGGTTAAAATGGGACACAAAGGGAATTTCCAAGGATTACATTAAAAATTCCATTGCATGGGCCCTTTAACAATAGTGGGCATGTTCAGATGTCCAGGGTGTGTTCACATGTCCACAATTTATCTCAGATAGTTATGGAGGTAAGTCCTAGGATGTAGAGGTATGTCTCAAGTCAGATGTATACACGTTGTCGCTGAATCTTACCTACAAACTGATTGACCTTCGCAGAGCAAACATCGCCCCCTGGCTGTGAGGATACCATGTATGGTTGCTGTCCCGACGGAATCACATCTGCCCAGGGATTCAAAGAAGCCGGGTGTCCGAGTAAGTCAAATAATCGTGTTCTCAGCGGTGGACTCCGTGCGCAAGTACCCCCTCAACGGTCAAAAAGAGGGAGTCGGGAGAGACCACTGTGAGGAACATTCAAATGCGCTGCTAATGTGAAGATGCTACGTGTTTGCACACATTTGGATGTAAATGTTTGATAAAACATAAATACACAAAGTTTGTCTGAAACCAAATTCTATTTTGCTTGACCTGAGTCCCTTCTCATACTATTTAGTTCGGCACAATTATGGACAGCCAGACTGCAATGGTTGTAAGACATCTTTTCTTATGGTTTCTGTGTTTGGTCTTTGACTTGAACTTGCCAAAAAGGTCTGTAAAAACTCTGGCTTTTCTCTTCTAGGTCAATTGACATGCCTGCTCTGATAACTACGATAATGTTTCATCTTCACTTTTCTTCGTAGGCCATTGCGACTGTAATGATCTTGGCTCCTATTCGCCGGTCTGTAACCCTAGCAACAAGCAGTGCCCGTGCAAGCCGGGTGTCGGCGGGAAAAAATGCGACAGGTGTGAGCCAGGATTCTGGGATTTCCGCGGAATACAGAACGGCAATATTGGATGCAGACGTAAGTTTAGTTATCGTGAAAAAAGTACGAACAAAATTAAATCATTAAACGAAGTGCCTCTCGTGTATTCAATTTAAAAAGAATTCCTGTGAACTGTTCTATGTCGTTTAATATCCTCCCTCACATAGCATGCGGATGTTCCAAAGGAGGCTCAGCCCGTGATGACTGTGAACAGATGCTGGGCAAGTGCATGTGTAAAGGCAAAGCTATGGGCATGAAGTGCGACATGTGCCCAAAAGGAATGGTGCTGGGTGCCGCTGGCTGTCAGGAAGGTATGTTATAACACAGACATGATAGAGGCTTTGTTGAAGTTTAACCACAGTTAAACCACGGTTAGCCATTGTTGGTTAACCATAATTGGTAAACCATAGTTGGTTAACCATAGTTGGTTATACTGTAGTTGGCTGAACCATAGAGCAGGAAGGTACATGTATGTTATAACACAGAGGCTTTGTGGAAGTTTAACCACAGTTAAACCACGGTTAGCCATAGTTGGTTAACCATAATTGGTAAACCATAAAACCATAGTAGGTTAACCATAGTTGGTTATACTGTAGTTGGCTCAACCATAGTGCAAGTTCAAGCGAGGACCATTAGTCGACTAGTGGTTGATTTGTGACGTAACATATGCCTGTGCACAACGCCTCTAGTAAAAATGATGATCAAAATGTCTGTGTCCTGGCTTCCCATGGTGCATTATGGTGTGAGTGGCTATTGGTAACAAGTGATGCAACCATGTCCCGTGGTCTCAGTTCCAATTTTCATCCCCTTAACTGTTCCATTTTTTTTGTAGTCGTAGACGTAGATGACTCTTCCAATCTATGCGAGCAGCTGCAATGTCGCTATCACGCCGCCTGCCAGTTCACTGCCGGGCTCGCCACCTGCGTCTGCCCAAGCAATTGCACCACGGAGTTTGAGCCCGTCTGCGGATCCGACGGTCAGACCTACGGCAACGAATGCCAGATGAAGGTGTTTGCATGCCGATTGCAGCGAGACATTCGGCTGTATGCTAGAGGAATCTGTAATTGTAAGTACAAGCTCTGTGTCATTTTTACAATTATTTTCTCCCTTTTTTTAAGCCAAAGTTAATTTATAAACATGTGTCCAAAATTGTATTCTTTGCAAAGTTGCAGGAGAATAAAATTTAATGCCAGATTTGGTATAGAATACATAGCCATTTAGAATAAGTGCTTACCTCATACGCATCCTTGGCTTTGGATGTAGTTTTGGGAGCATGGAATTAGAATCATGTTGTCAACATCTTAAAGTTGAAATTATCTTGGAAATATATGCCAAGTTGCTTAGGTGTGTTATGAAGTGAAACAGAAATGCTTACATTATGAGACAATCTCCAAAAGCGAGAAAACTGAAATGTCTGTGTGTTTTCATGTTAAAGCTATCATCATGACACCCATGACGATATCCCAAGAATGTCTGGATTCGGAGTTTGGTTGCTGTGACGATGGAGAAACACCCAAGAAGAATCCCGAAGGCGCAGGATGCCCGTTGATGCCAGGCATGACAAGTGAGTCCTTAAGCAGCTCATATAATTCAGCAATTTTGAAACATAGTGAGAAATAGTTTCCCATTGTTCATTGTTTTCATGGTAACTGAAGCCATGCTAACTGAATGACCTGATACTCATTGGTTCCACAGCTGCATCAGTGGTACCCAGCGTGCGACCAACGCCATCAGCACCCATCAAGCCTCAGCCTAGCGATGCAAGCGACACCTCAACAGACTCTGCCGTTGAAGTAACCACCCTTCCCTCACCCCCTGTTGAGGTATCCTCAGTTTCCGCATCTCCCTCCGAGGTGACAACCCTCTCCTTACCTTCCTTAGATACAAGAAGTTATACCTCTCCCCAGTCTGATGCCATCACCCTCCCTTCACCACCTCTACAAACCTCCAGCCAGCAGGTTATGACAAAGCCAGCTGAGGTAGAACCTAGCACAGTCAAATTAAGTAGCTCCTCAATGGGCACGAGCAAGGCAAGCGAGTCTGTATCCAGGACAAGTGAAGCATCATTGGAAAGCAGCTCAGCAGTGACACAATTAGCATCAGCATCTTCATCTAAGTCTAGTATGCCAGACTCTGAGTCGAGCACATCAGTCTCAGAAACAGGCAAGCCTGTTGCTGAGACAAGCATGCCTGAATCTCATACAATGCCTATCTCCAAACCCAGCACAAGTGCCTCTGAAGCTAGCTCATCAGCCTCCCAGACTTCCATGCCTGTCTCCGAGACAACCATACCTGTCTCCATGACAACCATGTCCGTCTCCATGACAACCATGCCTGCATCCCAGTCTAGTCTTCCACCCTCCCAGAGCTCTTCCAAGATGATGCCTCTCTCCAGTCCCAAGCCCGAAATCTCAGAATCCTCTCCTGCATCCTCCCCATCTACCCCATCCATGGAACCCTCTACAAGTCAACATCTTCCCTCAACTTCAGCTTCTTTACCATCCATCCCCAAGACAACTTCCCCACCCATGATGGCTGGTATGACACCTGAAGAGACCAAACCAATGCCACAGCCTCAGATGCAGACTCTAACCACCCAGTTTCAAGCCAGTCCGACGGACCCAACCACAGTTATGCCTCGCATCACTACAGAGAGTATACCAGAGTTGACGACACAACAGAAGCAAAGTAAGTGTATATGAAATAAAAACTAATATGTCCTGTCATTTGAAAACAAATCACATTGAGTTTCTTCAAGAAAAAGGACTTACTGGCAAAGCAGAATTTAAACCTGTAACCTGAGAAAAATAAACATGCGCTCGTTTGCTTAGCTTGTTAGAGTACCGTCTTCTGGAGACTGGGGTTGCAATCGGCCTTTCTTTCTTTGTTGACCCGACAAAAGGTTCTTTTCCAATAAATTACCACTCTTGTTATGTGCCTTTTACTTCAGCAACGGAGCCAGTGCCCATCTCTATTTGTGAGATGACCCCTTGTCTTCATGGAGGAACCTGCTTGGAGAAAGAGTCGGCTCCTAAGGGGTATATCTGCATCTGTCCTGTGGGAAGGGGCGGGCCAGTCTGCGAAGAAGGTAAGGAAAAATCCTCATCTAGGCACTTTCGGTTTATTCTGATGAATTCATATGAATTTCGGCATATGGTCTCATGTTTTTAGCATGATTTATAATTTTGCTCAGCACTCAATGGGAATTGTCTGCTTTTTAATACCCCTTCTGGAAGAAATGTGTTAAGTGTCAACATAGAGTTTGAGAGATGACAAAGCTCATTGGGTTGTTTGAGTCAAGATTGAAGACACTGAGAAGAACTGTTTTGAATTGCATTGACAACTCACACGTTCTACTGTAATTTTTTTGCAGCGGTGACGTTCCAGTCTCCATCTCTGTCCGAGTACTCCTATCTGGCCTTCCCTAAGATACGAGCCTTCTTCGATTTCGAAATCACTTTGGAGTTCCAAGCTGAGGCAGACCCTGAAGGTCTTCTTCTCTTCAACGGTCAAGACGATGTTGAGAACAACGACTATGTTTCCTTGGCTATCGTCAATGGGTCTGTTGAGCTAAGGTACAAAGTTGTACACGAGTAAGTATCAGTTTTTTCATTTCTTCACTCCACCGCCTCCACCTCTCAGTGTGCATGATGGCCCTCACCTACTACTAAGACTGCTGACTAATATGTTCGACTAACACCGGCAGATCCAGCTAACCACCGCCAGGTAAACTAGTCTGCCTTGTTTGGATATTCGCTTGCATGCTTCTTGTGCAAGTTAAGAATCCTGAAGATTGGTCGGTGGCAATAGGTCTCGTTCAAAGGACGTCATTTCCTACAGACCATCCACGTGGATCGGCATTTTGAGCTCGAACTTGCATAACGCGCATTGGCTGCGTCGTATTTTGAACACATTGCGAGCAACAAGCGCACGTGTTTGGAACATTTTTTATCACTGCGCAATGCGTGCTTGATTGCGTAAAAGATGCAGTTGCAGTTCTCCTTCAGAAATGGCCGTCGTTGAACGAGCCCTATTGCCAAATTAACTTAGTAAGACCCTACCCCCCTCCCCTGCACGGCTTTGCCAGAATAAGTTAACAATTTTGTTGCTTGTTTGAAAACGGAGATTGGGGCAAATTCATCAGTGTGTCATTTTTGGTCAAATACTTGCTGAAATCCTGGAGCAATTATCAGTCTAGAAATTCCCACACCTTATTTTATTAAACATGTAGCTTTTGACGGAACATATTGGCTTTATCACTATGCTTTGGCACCTGAAGCCGTTTGATTAAAGGGGCATTCAAGTGTCTAATTTAGTTGTCGAACATTTTTTTTGTAAATTCACATTCATTATACAGCGTGTGTCAATAAAAACGCAGGATTAGAAACAAAAATATTAGGAATATAAACCACCCCTATTCATCATAATGTTAACCCTCTTTTCAAAGTACCTATCCTTCTCTTTACTATGCTTTTTATCCCATCTCATTTGGACAATCCTGTCCAGAGATAGAGTACATTGAAGAAGGGTTATTAATTCCAAGCTGGTTTGATTTGTGAAATCACACATACCTAATGAAAGGTTTGAATTCAGTACAGGTGAAAGTATTTGTGGATCACAAAGAAGGACATGTGTGGCAGGATTAGGCTTACGTAATCTTTTAGTCCACAATCAATGTTATTAGTCAATAATTCATGATGCTTTGAAACAATGATAGTCCAGTTATTAAATTTAAGTGATACTTATCATCAGTTGTTTCAAAGAAAGTTTTGTTCTGGTTTAATTATCTTCAATGCATACCTGCATTGTACATAACTGGTCGTTGTGTTAAGGTCATTGAATCAGACCAACCCGCTTCAGAAAGGCTAATTCCACCAAACAAACATCTTGTCAAAGATGAAATTATGGACAAGCAAATCCTTATCAAATTAGGCACACCAGTAGCATAATTTTCTTTGAAAAAAAATCGCTTTGAATCCTGCGTTTTTATTGACACACGCTGTATAATCGTTCATTCAGGAACCATTCTTTCTCAAAGAGTGATTAAAAGCAAAGTACCTGCCAAAAAAATAAAAAAATACTTTGAAGTCAATTTTAATGATAATTGCATGGCAAATTACACAGGTCATGTGTAACAGGGACATAAAAAATGCCACATTTTTGGACCCCAGATTTATAAAATTACCCTCAACTCTTCATTCTGGTTTTTTGTGTGGAGAAAGCTTATTTTGTTCCCTGCGCAAAAGACCCAAGAAAGCCATACTAGTTCATACATGTGATATGGCATAGTGCGCATGCATGTTATCTGAAACACATAGGTTAAATTTGCAAGTTACGACAGTAGGCGTACGGCCCTGATTTGTTTGTATTTACTTCCTTTAAGTAAACTTAAATCCTCCTTGCTGGTTGGTCAATTCCATAGCAACAGTGACCCATATGACTTGATGTAATCTCTTTTTTTATTAAACTTTTACGGTTCTAACAATAATCATCATTAGACATTTGCATATCTAATAATGTTTATTATTTTAGTTTCGATAATATTGCTTGTCTGAAATCAACTGTTCAACATTTTCCATGTATCCAAATTTCACTCACTAGTATTAGTAGTGTAGTTTCTGTGTGTTACCATTTTTTACGTTTGTGCCATTCATATTATTGCAACAATTGACACTCTTGATCATTAGAATTAGAAAAACTGTTTTTTGCTAATCATTTTCACTGCATTTTGTATATATCAGTTTTCTTTTCAAAAAAAAGAAAGTAAAAAAAAAAGTCTTGTTTTAAAGACTTCGCTCATTTGTTGACATTGTTCAATTGCATTTCCATTTCATTTATGAAAAATCTTTCATAACATTTATCGATGGAAGCAATTTTTCAAATTTACGATTTTTACTTAAACATCAACTACACATTTATTTTTCAGCCAACTTTTGCACATAAGCACATGTAAATGAAGTGTTCTGCACTCAGTGGTTTGCTTGCTGCACTGCATTGTGTTACATTATATTTATTCACTCAGGAATCAATAAGACCATGGGCCGTATTCACGAGATGGCCATTTTTGTCGAGTTCGCAGAATGTATTTCATTAATTGTTAATTGTTGTATGGGATGGCGCCAGACTATTAATGCAGGCACTATGCAGCCTTGTTTTAGTGTCATTTTTTTTAAAAATATGGCATTAAACATTAGGGAATGTCTAATTACAAATTTTAAATTATTCGTTGAAGCAGACTGGAATTTATTGTAACTTAAGTTGCTTTCATTTCTCTTCGCAAGTTCCAAAAATTAAGATATTACCTCACTTTCAATTCAATATGGCCGACTCGTGAATAAGGCCCATTGGGTGCTTGAGTTTTTCGGGGGGCATAACGGCAGGTTTTAGAGCGGTTCAATGACTATTGCCTAATGTTCAATTTGTTCCCTTTTCCCCCTTTCGAGGTTTGACCTCGGATCCAGCGACGCTGTCGTCATCAGAAGCACTGTGCAGATTCAGCCCCTTCACTGGTTCACAGTGCGGGCTACCAGGGACAGGCGTGATGGTACTCTCAGCGTGGATGGCGAGACACCAGTGAAAGGAGAAAGCAGCGATAGGTCGATCGGTTTGTCTGTGACCCACGACCTCTTTGTTGGCGATGTGCCAGAGGATAAAGAAGCGTAAGTATTTTTGCATAATTTATCAACAGGTGAAAAAATCACGAAAGTAGAGGTACATTGTAAAATTACAAAATCTGTGCTGACCAAGAAATTCTTCATTATGTTATGAGTTTTTCTGTTATGATATGAGTCCCTTTGTATATATGAAAAACTCTCTTGAAAGTTGTATAGGGGAGCTTCCATTAACCGTAACAGAACTCAACTCATCAAACCCCAACGGCATGTTTTGTTGGTATCTGTCAGGATGGGTACAATACCCCAAAACTGGCAGTCTTTTACATTTGGGTTGGCACACCTCCAGAATCAAGTTTCCCATATGGTGTTGGAAGTTTTCAGGATAGGTATGGTTCCTAGTATATCATGTGAGGGAGTTGGGATTAATCTGACTTTCCATTACTCAAATATCAACGGTACATGTAAGCATCCTGCTTTGATGCTGTCATGCACGACCAGCTCAACAAAGGAACCAGTCTTTTGTTTTCAATGACAATTCATAAATTTAATATGCTTCAGGTAGCGATGCAATACACATGGGATTTATGGCCTACAATTTAAAGAAATGATGAAGTGGTGGGGTAAAAAGAAAAGCATTAATGGTTGGCCTAAAAAGGAAGCAGTTTGTATGTGAATATAATTGAAAGAACCTAGAACCTGCCTTGATTTTAAGTTTTAAATTTTCAATTTTAATAAAACATGGAATATTCAAACCCTGTGTACTTTATGGAGAAGTGAAATCTCATCAATGTTTATTTTTTAAAATGTGTACTTTGACAAAGTTTATCCAAATTTGATGAAGACTTGATTTTTCTACTCGCAAAACCACTGCATGTTCTCTATTAAGCTTTTCTGTCCGTCAGAGAAATACGTACGCAGAGAAAATGCATTATGGCTACACAACTGGTAAATGCACAGCGCAATACACACATGCAAAACAGACACATGGATTGTTGGCCTGACCTATACAATGGAATTTGTTCGATTTCATCAAACTTTTCGTAACGATGTGTCGCAGCTGCGACGCGTCCTGCGATCCATTTCATGAAACACGTCGTAAGTGCGAAACACGTCGTAAGTGCGACACGTCGTAGGTATATTTATAGCACAACTCGGTGACTGTTTTATGTATATAGTCAGCGTACAGTACATAGTCGTCTGATATTCAACAAAGAGTCAGATCTCAGCTCGAAATTTGGTAAAACGTAAAACAAAATGGTGGCTGTGCAATGCAATTTTGAAGGAAAACAAGCTCTCAGTGGACTGTATAGCTACTTTGAAATTTCAACTGCAATATTCCAGTCTTATTCATAATCATTCAATAAATTTTCTATTTACAACTTTACACACATTGCCTCAGTATTATAATCTCGTTTCTGTCATGTTTATGGCATTAAACTGGCTTAGAAAGGGACTCTTCATATTTTGTGATGACCACTAGACACGTCGTAACTTGCCACGAGTTTTAAGTCGTTGCCAAAGAACTTACGACGCGTTCAACACATTGCAACTTTTGTGAAATGGATGATACGATGCATCACGAGTTGCAACGTGTTACATGTCGTAACTTGAGTTGCAACGCATCGCAGCGCTTATTGAAATCAGGTGCTGGATATTTAATGAGATGACCCCTTAACACCACTTAACTCACACTTACAGGATTTATAAAGTTGCCGGTACCACCAAGGGCTTTGTAGGATGCATAGGTTACCTGGAAGTCAAAGGTAAATCCTTAAAGGTCTACCATCCCGGTGGCGACATCCTCTACGGAGCCAACATCGGCGAATGTGGCAATGACCCGTGTGTGTCCATGCCGTGTCTCAACAACGCCACGTGCGCCCCGACCAATGCTGAACAGTTTGAATGCGACTGCATGGGCGGTTTTGTGGGTACGTTTGAAAATTGGGCTTTTGTAATTTTATACTTAAACCAGGGAATTCTTTCAAGCACCACTATGGCCTCAGTGAACACGTATAACCTTCAACAGTCACGACGAGAGAGTTGGGGAGACCATTTGATGGGGCACTCAAACGCGTTGCCAAAGGTACCCGATACTCAAGCGCAGACCTCACCAGTTTGTGCACATATACAAACACTGAGTGGCTCAGAGTGGAATGGGAGGAATAGTATTGCAAAGTAAAATCTGAACTTGAAATGGAAAGGTCCAGATTTTACCGAGCGATGATATTCCTCCCATTTCACAATTTAAAGCCACTCAATATTTTTTTTATATAACAGACATGTAGATCATTGTCATTTGATTTACAGTTAAAATGAACTTCTATTTCAATACAAAATTGGTGGGAAATGTATTTCCCTCTTCCAAACGACCCCTTCATGAAATGTTTGAACCCAACGCTGTAGCTACTGGCTCTTGGGAACAATACGCGCTACGCTCAACGCGCACACCAGCATGCATTTGCACACAAATACCGCATCTACTGTTCAGCAATATCTGCCTGTCGATCCAACAGTGTGCATTGACCAATTAGATCACGACTTTTGGTCAGGTTACCACAATAGCTCGGGCAGTTTGGTTTAAAGCATTGTGAGAAATGGTCACAAACCAAGCTTGGATGTAAATTGTGATTGACTTTGTTGTGATTGTTGTCTTATTATGTGCTTTTGCTGTTTTTTTTTTGTTTTTTTTGTCTAGGTCCTCTATGCGGTGACGTCTTTGTAGATCCATGCGAGGGCAATATGTGCTTCACTGGCTCTACCTGCACATCGTTACCAGAGGGCGGTTACAGGTGCGACTGTCCAATGGGATGGCGCGGTGACATGTGTGATAGGCGTAAGTAGCCAATCATAGGTTTGAATTATTTAGCTTTGTCTAGCAGTAACAGGTGTATACGGGAAGTAGATTCAGTGTCTCAGTTGTCAAGTGGTTAAAATGACATCTGCTCTAGCAAGCAGGAAGTCTCGGGTTCGATTTTAATCTGAGTAAACTTGGTTTTCATAAGCTTGTTTACGACAAACCACCGAGTATTTTAGTGCTCATGTTGGTCAACGGCTATCAGGAACAGCTATTGGTTTTGTTCAGATTTTTCTTTCTTTCTTTTTTCTTTTTCCACTGTTAGTAGGTTTTGTACATGTTTTAATTTTACTAGCCACTTTAAACTTCTGCCAATCCTATCAACTTGAAACTTTAATAGTGCATGCATCATCATTGTCTGGGAATGTGGATAAAATAGAATTTTGTCGTGATGACATCATCAAGGATCATATGACATCAATTAAAGTAGGAGGTCATGGGTTCGATTTTAATCTGAGTAAATTTGTACACTTGTTTTTCATAAGCTTGTTTATGACAGAAACGACTGAGTATTTAATGCTCAAGTTGGTCAACGGCTATCAGGAACAGCTATTGGTTTATTTCAGATTTTTTCTCTTTCTTTTTTTCTCCTTTTCCAGTGTAGATTTTGTACATGCATGTTTTAATTTTACAAGCCACTTTAGGAACTTCTGCCAACCTTATCAACCTGAAACTCAGCACATGCATTGGCATTGTTGGGAAATGTGGAAACGTAGAATTTCGTCGTGATGACATCATCAAGGATTATGTGACATCAATTGAAATGTTCTTTTCTAGAGTCGTATAACTAGTGAACTGCGTGATCAATTGACCTTTGGGGTGTTACTTGCAAAAATTTAAAAGAAGTTATGATGATGTCATTAGGTGTGACGGGAGATTGGATCTCACAGTGGCTGAGAATTAAGCAATCACTCAGCACATTTAGAACTTCAATTTTCGACTTTTCTTCCAGAAAATAAACCGGAACCCGGTGGCCCGTTCATTCCCGGTTTCGACGGCAACTCTTACCTTGAGCTGCCTAGTCTGATGGCCCCGCGTCACATTACGGTCGAAATGGAATTCCTGGCGACCGAACCAAATGGCATGCTATTCTACAACGGGCAGAGTACCAATGGCAGAGGCGACTTCATCTCTCTGAACTTAATGGACGGATATCTGGAATTCAGATACAATCTTGGATCCGGAACTGCCAAAGTCAAGTATGTCTTTTGTTCTTTTTACCCATTCTTTTTATATTTTTGGCTCTTTGTCATCATATGTTTGCATATTCGCATTGACTCATTGTTTGCATTATGAAACTTGACGCACAGCTAGTCAGTTTAATAGCATCCAAGTTTAATAATACAAACTTTCAAATTTGCAAAATTGAAACTGTTTAACAATTTATATCTGGTTTTTTTCCATAGGTATTTGAAGATGTGAAAAATAAAATATTTTTTTACTGCTTTCCGTTCATTGTTAGAGGTGTTTTTCCCAAGAATTTTTTTATACCAGATTTTGTTAAGATGTTGCTGTTTCATTTGGTTTTGGTAAAGTAGTAAATAATCTGATAAAACTGAAAAAATGGCAGATATAGGCTTTTTAAACGAGGCCATTAAGAATGATTATTTAAAGTCTTCTTTTCTTGTTCACGGGTAGTCCAATGTTGGACACAGATCTGCATATTATAAGGTAATGCGTGTTGTATTGCATGTTGAATACCCATGTGCTGTGTTCTTTACTTGGGTTCACATATGCTGTTAGGCTTGAAGTTTACTAGTAAATGTCCCCTTGACATGAATGGACCCTTCCTGCCTGTCACTCAGTCAATCTGTCTGTATCAACCAATTAGATCATGGCTTTTAGTCAGGTGACCACAGTCGAAATCAGTTACAAGCACTGTTAGAAATGTACACAAACCAATGGTGGGCAGGGCTTGACAGTGCACATTGACCAATTAGGTCATGACTTTTGGTCAGGTGACCTCAGTAGCTTGATCAAACTCAGTCACAAGCAGTGCGTTCGATTACTTCCCCTGCGCTTACTTGTGCAAGCGCGACAGCATTCGATTTACCTCTCATGTGACTTCTTGCGCTTACTCGAGCCTGGCCCAAGTAACTGACTCGCCGAGCCGGTTACATGGGTAAGTATCCCATAAGGCCATGCAATGTCCGAAACGGGCTTCCACGTGCACGGAGCATAGAGCTACAAACCCTATGTAGCTGTATGCACGGAGCTACGAGCTACGGCTACTGGGCGTGGACGTGCTCTAGACAGTTAAATGATTCGGATGCAGCCTGGGAAAAAATGTTGCAACCTGATGCCACTTCCGCGATTGTGTACAAAGTCTATGGAGAGTCAAGACAATTGTCTAAGTTCTAACAAAATTGGAAATATATCTCAGTCCCAGATTCATGTCTTATCATCATTTTTGCAATGAATGACCTTCATTGAGATGATTACGAAGAAAAAAAGTGGCGGCAGGTTGCAACATTTGTTCCGCCTTTGTAATGTCAAAATTCAACTTTCCAGCCATGAGTGGTGCGAGGGGGAGGGGGGCAAGGGGGGCGCAACACCCCCCACCCCCCCCCTCCCCCACCCGCCCAGAAAAGCCAAAAAAAGGAAGGAAAAAAAAGAGAAAACAAGAAAAGAAAAAGAGCTGAAAAGTCATATTGGTGTAAATTTAATGGGTGGGGGGAGCAAAATGTCCCTGCCCCCCTCTAAAACTGATAAATCGAGGATAAAATGTTGAGAAATAGAGGAATTTTGTGGGAAAATATGTTTTGCCCTCTTCTGGAAATGGGTTACACCCGTGCAATAGTTGATTGTGCATGCATATTTTACCTGTGCGCGAATACGTGCACGCTTGCTAATGCCTGCTTGCTTAAGAGCAAAACTAGCGGCTGACCTATGATGATGAATGGACCAGTAACAATTTGGCTCTCGCTCATGAATATGTATGAGGTAATCTACACTATATTTTGACAAGGTCAGTACCTGCATTATTTTACCACTTGAGGAAATCGTTTTACCACGAATCTCTGCCACTCTGCAACCCTTACGAAACTAAAGTAAATACGTTAGACAAGTCATAAAGTTTTATCATACCTGTACCTTTTTTTTCCGGAAAGAATGTATAGTATCCAGACATCACTTCTTTGGTTGTGTACAAAGTCTATGGAGAATCGAGTACATTTTCAAAGTATTTTCTAACAAAAATGGAAATGATTCATGTCTTTTCAACATTTTTTGCAATGACTGACCTTCATTGAGATGATGTACATGTATGATGAAAAAAGTGGCGTCAGGATGCAATATTCTTTTTTTTTTTTTTTTTTTTAATAAACACTGTTGGACTTCAATATGGCTTTTGCCATTCAACTGATGCATTAATTTTTATAAACACGGTACACTCAGTGTTGTCCCGAGTGATTTTGAGAAAAAAAAACTACTCGGGTGGGAATCGAACCGAACTTGACCTCCTGCTTACTAGTGCAGACGTCTTACCACTCGACCATCAAGCTTGCCGGGGTCAGCTGGCTGGTTCGAATCTGATATAGCAGCGGGTACCGCAGCCAAATTTACGAACTGTTAAACAAATGGCAATGGAAAGACGGTGCATTAAAAAAAAAAAGCGGAAATACCTATTTATGTTGACTGCTGTGATGTGGGATATGACGTTTTGTACAACCGAGGGGCACATAGCACCCGAGGCGAAGCCAAGGGTGCTATGCGTCCCGAGGGTCCCTTGGATTCTTTGGATTGTGATGTAAAAATCACGAAAACAAATGGCAGTAAACACAACAATCGTGACAATCTAACGGCAACTCACATGCATGTCGCGTGCTCCAAACAGCTGATCGTCTGCTACCTCGCTGCTCCCACTCATGTGTGAAAACATGGTGAAACTAGCGGGGGTACCAACGATGCAAGCGTTTCACACCATACGTACGTACCGTACGTGCAATGTCATAGCACACTCCCTGTGGGATATCATGTACGTGATATCCCGCAGGGAGTGTGCCATGACTTTTTATAAACTTAACACGTGATTGTTCTTGGCCAATGAAAATACAGTATTCAAGACAGAAGTATAATAATGCTAGTTTTATCTCTCCTTTCCAGAATTTGTAAAGCTAGTTGAATTCAAGATTTTTATTTGCTCCTAATTGGTTGTAATTCTGTTGCGCTGTTGTCCCTTGACCTCTCTCTGACAAATGAATATGCATGCATGAACTGAATATGGTTGTCCCTTTTGCCGCTCTCCCAGTGAGTGTTGATCATGTGCATGCAGAATCCTGATAACTTTCAAAGCAAGACAACTTGTCCTTTACGACAGCACAAATTGCAGTCTTTTGGGCCTTTGTGACTAGCGTTGGAATCGATGCATGGAGAGAGATCAATAGTGATGAGAATAGCCTTTCCAGGTCAAAATTGTCAGACTATCGCTCCGCGAAGGCTGCCATGTTTGAATAATGCAATTGGGTCAGCTAACAGCTATTGACCAATCAACAGCGTGGTGTGCAGGGTTACATGAAATTTGCCCGCATGATTTATCGAAGTTTATACCAGAGCTAACCAAGCTTGAATGTCAGTGTTTCCCGTCATGTCTGAGCAAGTTCAGGCGCAAACAATAGTTAACCATAGTTCAACTAACTAGGCTCCGACTACGGATGCTTGGACTACTCTATGTAGCCCATACAGGTCTCGGTTGTAACACTGGTTTAATAGTCAGCACAACTAGGACCAAGAAGTTTTGTGATGACATTTCAATTAGATGCGTTCGCACATTGCTATTAGTGCGCATGCGTAAGTTACGTCACGAATCAATCTCTAGTTGACTAATGGCCCTTGCCCGCCCAGATTTGTCCGTGTTGACAGTTTGTGTGAATTGTTTTATTTTTGGCAGGAGCCCCGAAAGAGTCACCCTGAATGAATGGCATCGTGTGGAGGCCACGCGAATGAACATGGACGGCATGCTGTACTTGGATGGACAGATGGTTGCTAAGGGAGAATCCTCAGTAAGTTAAATGCTTCGACAGATGATATTAATTCAGCAGAAACTAACACAATAGCACCTGTACTACATTGTGTTACACTGTATTACATTGTATAACATGGTATTTATTCTCTGAAGAATCCATAAAACTGTACTTTGCTGGGGCTGTTTTGGCCATTACAAGGACTAATTTGTCTACTTCTAATTGTTATCATCCTTTTTTCACTTCTCTATTACATTTTGATTTTGTTGTAATTTGAATGCGCTATTGCTGTGATGTCATTTTATCCATTCGCTTTACAGTTCAGGAATTGTACATTGTAATTGCTAACCTACATGTAACACTGTACCAGTGTCTATAATTTGCAATTTGACAGAACTCACATTTACTGGTTGCCATAGATTTAATAAACAAGGTAACCCCTCCCCCCAAAAAAAAACAACAAAAAAAAACACCCCAAGAAAACCAAAAAAAACACAAAAATTGTCAAATTTTACAAAAAAAGGTGAAATTGAAGAAAATTGATTGAAGTTGATTAATTTTTCATTAAAATTTTTCCAGGGATCAGCAAAGCAGCTGAATCTCAAAAAGAGTCTGTTCATTGGAGGCACTGACAACTTCTCTCAGTTCTCTCGGAAGGCGGGGATTACCGATGGCTTTGTGGGCGGCATCAAAATGGTAAGAATCCAACATATTTCTTGGAGTTTGCTTCTACAAAAGAAAATTGCACAGCAAATTTCTACGCTGAGCACAAAATTTCAGACGGGAACCAGTCACAAGCAATGTACATTGCATGTTTTTTTGGCTGGTAGCCTGTTTTGTTTGCTAAGCAAAGATTTTCCATGGCACAGCTCATGGAAAATTGGCAGTATTTACTGAAGTTCATTTAGAACCATCAACTTTTAAAATATCTTACCAGCAACTTAATTATTTAGCTTTATGATTTGTATCGTTCCAACTATTGAATTTGTTCGAGTACATCTGCGTAGAAATGATATTCTGTATGTTGCAGGTTTGAATCGTACCTGGGAAAATGTCTACAAATGTGTACTCATTGAATAATATCCAAAGTTTCATGTTTTAATAGATAAAATAGATGGTGTCTTTAATTATAAACAGCCAAAAATGTTGACCCTACCACAAAATGTTAACTTCGACACTGATATTCCTAGTCTCTTTTCATCATCTTTCTGTAGCAAAGCTGGCAACAGATTTGTAAAATTGGTCCCCTGTTTGCCATAAAGTTTCTTGTTGTTCACAATTGTAGTTTGCTGTCGACCGCGAAGAGATTCCTGATCTGGTTGAAGCCTCAATCAGTCAAGCCAACATCCAGGGCTTCGTTGAGCATCCCTGCGTCGGTCGGCCCTGCATGCCTACTTACATCTGCCTGCCAGAGGGCGAGAGCTACTCATGTGTCTGTCCTGCAGGGATGGAGGAAATGGATGAGCGATGCCTTTCCATGGAAACATCCACGGCTAGTGGAGGTTTGTATTTTCTACATTTTAAATTTCGGCTGCATCCAAATTTCTTTGTCTAGTTTGTCTAGGTCTTAAACCATCAGAAGTATGTGGAAACATGCTGACAATTGACCTATCGCCGTTTGCGAGTTAGCCACGCCCCTTAGACAATCCTATAGAGTTTTTGTACACTGAGTTTTGTTTGTCTCAGATTTTGCGCGTTCCACGTCCATTGTAAATCATGTAATTGGACAATATTTCACAAGCTGCTTTGACGCAATTCTAACACGATTCCACTGCGATAGGTCAATAGACATAGCCATAGGTCTTAACTCGGGCATTCAAGTATTCCTACTTTTGCCTAGTTGTTTTTTATCTTACTTTTCCTACTTTTTTTTCAAGAAATTCCAACCTTTTCCTGCTTTTTCCTCCTTTTTGTCCCACAACTATGAAAAATGAAATGTCATTGAACATTTTTCATAAGAGTGTTACACACTGTCATGTGTAAATCACACAATGAAGGGCTTGGGCGCAGGAGTACTGCAATTGTACTTCCAAGAGCTTAGTTGAGGATGGAGCACAAGTGTTGTGAGTACAGAACATGCCAAATGAGGATTATGATGCTGTGGATATGGGTGATGAGTATCAACGATAACTACTCCTGAAAGCCTCCAAATGTCCTACTTTTAACCTGATTTTGTTCTCCAAAGTCCTACTTTCGTCCTGTTTTCTTTTTAATTTGATCCTACTGTTCTGCTTTTTCACATGGGTCTGTTTAAAAGCCTGCTTCACTCCTGTTTCAGATATGGCCTTATGATTTATCAAATTCTTGCTGAGCCCGGTGTTCTTTTCTCAGAACAAGAAAACAACGGTTATCAGCTACAGTGTAATGTAGTGTGTATTTGTTGTGGTTTGTTAACCACTAATTGTTCCATTAGCTGTTAATATGCCACCTGGCTATTTTGGAATCCAGTATCCTGCTTTCAGCTTGTGAGTGAAATATTTGGGATAACATTTGGATGTTTGATACTTTTAGATGATATGATGGTTAAGAATCCAGCCACGGAGAGGCAGGATACCAATGCACCGGTGTCCTTCGACGGGCAGAGTTACTTCAGTTATCCCAACATAGCAACGCAAACGTAAGTTTTTGTCAGCAGAATATTTTAGCCACAAATTGACACTATATTGCTATACTGAATACTTGCTTATAATGCGCACTCCATTGAGTTCTGAATTTGTAGTTTATTACAACAGGTTTCCCAACCGCTCTGGAAATCGGAGAAATCCTTGAAAATAAGTTTTGATTATCCCAGTCAGGAAAAAATCACTAAAAAAGGAATATGTGATGCGATCAAGCTACATGAGTCGTTTGTCGACCCTGGTCAATTTTTTTTTACAGATTTGAAAAGAGCACAATCTCAGTATTACTGCTGTGAAAACCGCATGCTGGTACCATCTTTAGTTCAAAAATATGGAAGTCGGAACACCTGGAGATGTGATGAAGTGATGTGATGTGATGAAGTGGCCCTATTTTGGCCTGTATCTCCATTCGCATCACATATACTAACAAAGTTCATTTAGCCTACCAGCTTTTTGTTTTGTAATACCATAGCATTAACTTAATTATCCAGCTCTATGATTTGTGCTTGTTCCAACAATCAATATTTTGTCGGTACATCTGGTGAAAAGTGATATTCTGTATGTTGCAGGTTTGAATCGTGCCTGCGAAAAATTCTGTAAAAGTGTAATCGTTGAGTAATATCCCAAGTTTTATTTTTTTTTTAAATAGATACAATAGGTAGAGCCTTTCATTTTAAACAGCCCAAAATGCTGAGACTATCACAAAATGTGAACTTCAACACTGATATTCTAGTCTCTTGTCATTATCGTTCTGCAGCAAAAAAGCACAGATGACAAACATCATCAAGCTGCGGTTCCGGACATCACAGCAAACTGGCTTGATGCTGTATAACAGCGTAAACAGTCGCAGCGGCGACTTTGTCGCTGTTGCCCTAATAGACGGCAGAGTGGAGTTTGCTTATAACCTCGGAGCCGGTGTGAAAAGAATCGCATCTGCCTTATCAGTCAGTGACGACCAGTGGCATACTGTCATTGTGTCAAGGCAAGTTCATTAGCCATGTGTTTCTCCATTTTAAAATTACAATTACAATAAAGCGGTTTGCTTAGGGACACAAGCACCATTTCCTAATGGAAGCTTACCATTTTTCTTGTTGGGTCGGTGTAATATAGAACAGTAGCATACTTGTCATAATCTCAAGTCAAGTTCATTAGCCATGTGTTTCTCCATTGAAAAATAAATTGCAGCAAAGTGAATTGCTTAGTGACATAAGTGCCATGATGCTTCCCCCCTCCCCTTTTTTTTTTGGGGGGGGGGGTCTTTAACAAGACGGTCTTCGACAACATAATATCCTTTTTAGTCTAAATAAAAACAAAATGAAAAAAATCAAAAATTAAGAAAAATGTTCTAATTACATTCTTGCATAAATAACAAACTTGTGTTTTTCCCCCAATAGAACACAACGTGAGAGCAGTATTCAAGTAGACGATGAAGCGCCCTCACTAGGCACATCCAAGCCAGGGGCGTCATTCTTGAATACGGATGGAATCATGTGGATTGGTGAGTTTTGTGAACTGTTCGCGTTGGAATCCAACAAGAAGAGACAATTGTATGAATTTGTAAACATTACCCCCCAAAAAAAATTGGTGAAAGAAATATTTCTATTGCAAAGTTCAAACTGACAAATTCGTGGCATAGCACGGTCGTATTTATGGGGGGGGGGGGTAAACATTTCTTGAAAAGGGCACTTGCACATCTGTGGTGAAATGTAGACACGTCTTTTCTCCGGACACTCGGCCTCCTTAAAATAAAAAAAATCTTTTTCTTAAGAATCAAGAAATATTAATTCTTAAAAAGTCTGACTTTAAACTCGTTTTGTGGTGAAAGGTTACATTTGGGCTTGTATATTGCCTCACAATTGTGATGGGATCAAGCTAAATGAGTCGTTTGTCTGGAACTTATCACATCACTTCATCACATCTCTTCGCGTTCCAACTTCCATAATTTTTTAACAAAGGATGGTACCAGCATCCGGTTTTCACATCAGTAATGCTGAGTTTGTGCTCTTTTTAAATCTGTAAAAAAAACAATTGACCAGGGTCGACAGACGTCTCATTTAGATCGCATCACAAATAGGGCCACTTATCACATCACTTCATCACGTCTCTTGGCGTTCCGACTTCCATAATATTTGAACAAAGGATGGTACCAGCATCCGGTTTTCACATCAGTAATGCTGAGTTTGTGCTCTTTTCAAATATGTAAAAAAAAACCCAATTGACCAGGGTCGACAGACGTCTCATTTAGATCGCATCACAATTGTGCTCTTTGACTGCATTGATCTCTTATCCTTAACACCTGATGTTCCGCATCTTTCTTGTTTCTCAGGCGGGCATTCAAGTCTCCAATCCAACGTTCCGTTTGAGTACAGAACGGGTTTTCAAGGCTGCATAACGGAGGTGGAGTTGGAAGAGAACAGTCTACATCTATACGACGACGCAAGAGAGGATAAACCATCGTCATTCTGTGACTACCCTGAGGCATAGCACAAAGCACGTTAGAAACATTTGAAGGAAAGAGGTGTTTTTATGAAGACAAAAATAGTCACAAGTTGTACATGTGTGTCATAAGGCCTTCTCACACTATCAGTTCGCCTACCCGAGAAAAACATGGATCCACCATGAGCGAAACTTGGTACGACTGAAGATGAGTTGACATTGCATAATACACCATAATGTACACAGGTCGACTGTAGATGTTGGATTTTGTACCTGGTTAAAAACACTCAACCTTTGTCCCAACCATTTCGTACGTGAAGAGTGCTGGACCTGTGTAGAAACTGTGTTGATTCTTGCTAGGGTAAAAGGTGGTGCGGTAATCTCTGGGTTTGACCGCGGTCTTACACTGAGATTTTGGATAGTGTGCAAGGCCTTATAGGTTTATGCTGCGATATAAGTAATGGTGCCCAATTTTGATGTTTGTATTGGCTTTCGATTCACAAATGCACTAGATGTTGTAACTCATCTCCAATTATTTTGATGCAGGAAAATGACAAACCGTAGAATGTTGTTCATTGTCACAGGTAATGTGACATGAAACACTGATATGAAACACTGATATGCACCTTGTAATCCGCACCCTCCGTTTTTTTGTAAAGTTACTAGAATATTTATGTTGATTACTTTTGTATTGACCAATGTGTATAGCAACCTTAGTACTTAAATATCAAAGCAGTTGTAGATTTGTACAGTACAACTGCCCCTTGAATTTCTTTTTTTATTATAAAATTGTCCACAATGGTGAAGTGGTGTATTTGAGTGACCATTGACGATTGAATTATTGAAGTGGATTGATCATGACCAAAAATCTACACAGTAAACCACTGATTTGAACTTTTAATTTTTTTTAACCAAAAGTATTTTCTTAAAAAATGTGGTGCTTTTGACGTAATGTATATTTTAAGCTGGAGAAACAAGAGATAGAGAAATCACTTAATTCAACAAGTAGAAAGGAAACGATATTTCTGATGTTTTGTCCGAGTAACTCTTATGGAAACTTTAAGAATATTTTCTAGGTATGTTTTGCAAGACTGATTTTTAACTTCATTTAGTCAATCAACTTTTCTGATGAATATTAATTTGTTGTGCGACATTTGAATTTTTCTTACAAATATCCTGAATTAGCAATATAAAACAAAAAATACATTGAGTTTCTTTTCTATCTGTAAATGATTTTTAATTTCCGTTTGACTTTTATTTTTTTTTAATATGTGCTAATTAAAATTGGGTAATTTGAATACATATCTCCACATTATATCATACATTTTTATCAGCAGAACGAAAATATTTAAAGTTCATTTATCTTGCACCACAGTCTTTAAAACAAAGATACTCCACATCAGTCATTTTTTTTCTATTCTGTAGTTTGGTGCATTTTAATTGAGCACTACATGGCCACTAATCAGTTAAAAGAATGATTTGATTTTAAGGATTTTTAAATGTGCATAGTGCAGACTTAACATTTCGAGTGATTAAAAAAAAGGTTGACTACGTGTATCACTTTAAATTGTTGTAAACATAAGCAATTTTCACTGTCCAAGAAATGTACAGCAATAAGCTTTTTTATATGTAGTGTAGTTTGTACGTCCTCTGTCTTTTAGCTAGCTATGTCTTTATTCACATTTATGTACACAATAGGTTTATTTAATATTTATTTGAATGCTGTTTTTTTTAAAGCAGACAAATCTTTCAATTGACCATTGTGAACGCAATGTTATTATTGTGAGAATTACAGGACCGGGATCGTCTTTCTAGAAACTCGACAGACTGAGTTTGTATTGAAATCTTGAAGTTAATACAATTTGCTACACAAGATAACACAACACACCCTGTATTGTAATATACCTACTTATCGTTTTGCAGAGTTTCAATTCGTCTTATCAGTGATGAATAATACCAAATTTGGCCTTAGTCTGCGCTACGGTGGTGAAATAGCTCAGCAGTCATAAACACTTTCAACTGGATAGGCCAAGTTGTGTCTTCCTGATACATCACATTAGAAAACGTATAAGTGTTGTTAACATTGGTGTCAGCGGTGGGATGCGCGCTTAAATATACGAGAACTCAAGAGGGCAGTTCCTGCTATCAATGACACAGTCGATCTTGTCTTTGTAATGACATACATACTGTACTATGCATTTACTGTAGCCGGCATACCGAAGCAACTTCTTATTTTTTTTTTGGTACTAAGCATGTAGACATATCCGTTTTCGCGCTCAGCGAGCAGTTATCAAGTTTATCATTATTTATATATTGTGTAAACTATTTAAAACAGTGCGATGGATCCATTTCGTCCACTTTTCGTGGAACACTCGCACTCAATCTTGTTATTTCTATGTATAACAGAAATTATGCAAAAAAATCGATTTCTTTAAAAAGTCAATATGAATTTAAAGCAAAGGCTGTCTGTTATTTTGTACATAGTCAATTCATTGTAGAAAACCAAGGTATTCCAATAAAATCAACTTAACAAAAATTGGCGGTGTCCGCTTTTGATGCTACGGGTATTCGTTGTGTAGTATAAAAATAGTGTTTAAGGGAACATATTACTGAGTATGAAGCAAAATAAATTGTATCGGGTAAGGTCCAAGCATTACAGGTAAATATTAATTAATTAGGCCTACATCAACAATTCTATTGGAATCTATTAGACGAAGCTTCCAATGAACTTAATTAATTTTGTACGTATCCACTAACATAATAAAATATTGGTACATTTTTTATTTCCCAACTCCCAAAAAGTGGAAACCATTATTGACCAGCCACTTCGACTTTTCTCGAACAGCACGTGTACTTGATGCCAACTATGATCGCTATGACTATCACAACATTGATGGCTAGGACGTCCAACATGAAATACTCGATAAATGAGAGCTGGAGGGCACGTGGTTTGAGATGCTGGGTGCCATGTTTGATCGCGTATTCAATCCAGTAGGCGGTCTCGTCAACGGGGGACATTCCACTGACTCGATCCTTCGCTATCTGTGACATGATCACTGCCGTGTCTTTGTACCTGTGAACACCAACAGAACGGGGTGTAAAATGTTGCTGGTAACGGGCCAGGTCTTCCGTTTGTTACTGGTGGGTACTGGTAATATCATCTGTGCCAGGCACTTATGGTTTTGGTTTTTAAATAATATGTTATGTAATACAGGTACTGATGCGGGTTGACAGTAAATGGCAATATAATAGAGCATGAAAGTTCGCCCCTAGTGGCGCGCTTCCGGCCCCTTGAATACGATAGTTAAGGTGCAAAAAATATAAAATGTGCAACTTTTTTGGGTACATTGATTTAAGAAAATCACCCTCGAAAACTGGCATCTCAACTATATGGAAACTGAAAAATCGCCTGACGTGAAAGAGAAATATCGTGCCAAAAATTGACCTCTCACATCGAAAATCTAAAATACATGTGGACTGGTGGAGTGGAACTCGGTGTTTTCGTGTCGTACAAAGATGAAACTTATTTGTGGCGGTCATTGGGTGAAAACTGACCTTTAATAGGAGATAAAATGTCTTATAGGACACGATTTTTTTGGGATAAACTTGAAGGACTAATTATCATTTACAAAGAAATCTAAAATGACCGTTGAGAACTGTATTCAAGCAAGCCCGACTAAATCTAGAACCCATCGGCTGTAGGGTGGTAAATCTTCGCGTCACCATTTTCGTTTTCACACAAATCGATGTGCCAAACAACCGTGATCGAACAAGGATACCTCAGTACGAAAATACCGGATGTGAAAGGTCGTAAGTAAAATTCGTTTTTAGCCATCTCCAACTGATTTCTCATCATTTTTTTCTCGTGGAGTACCAAGATGAAATTCCAACATGAATGTTTCTTGGGATGAATACGGTTAGAAATAAAGTATAGCAAGAGAAAGGGCAACCAGATGTCTGGAAGCTCAAAGACAAAATGACGTACTTTCAGGCTCCATTCTGATGGAAACGTACTTGAACGGAACTTGGACTGTTCGTGTTCATATCTGAACTTAAACGCCAATTTGGGAACGTCGTCTTGAGATTATGTTTCCTTGTCAGCTTTTTCTCAGCTGTTATTGCTGTTGAACGCGCATGCGCTCGTTCAAATACTTTATGATAAACAAAACATATTTGCCATCAGCACTGAAAATATCTGCCATGAAAAATAGGTTTAATACCAGCCATGCAATGTGATTATTTGTTTTAGCCAGCTCTTAGATTTGTTGCTGGTGGGTAGTCATGTTTGTTTGAAATAAAGCATTAAAATAATATAGGGGATGCGGGTTGCCGGCAAATTTGGCACTGTTGCCATGCTGCAACAGAAGGTTTAAACAACTTGAATTGAAGTTTTCGTGTTCAAATCTGAACGCCTGTTTGGGAACATCGTGTTCCTGTAAGGTTAGGTTTTCTGGCCAGCTTTTTAACTGTTAACAGGATGTTGAAACACGCATGCGCAATTTCCAATAATATTCCCATGTCATGGAGTTTAAAGTAACAAATACTTGCCAGGCACTGGGGAAAACAATAGGTTTCAAGCCATTGTAGTATGCAATGATATTTTTCTTTTTTCCCCCGAGTCTCACTTTCTTTGCTTTCAGATACTCTCGTAAATAGTACCATTGGGAGACACGTAGGCGTTATTATACTGTGACGGACAGTTATGCAGTACTTTTGTTGTCATTGCTTTCGGGCTCCGGCGGAGTGGCTTCTTTTGTTGGGGGACGCGGGAAAGGGTTGGCAAGATGCCGGGGTCATTACAAGTACAATTGTATTCATTTGCTGAGACTGTATGGTTTTTCTATGCTGGGAATGTTCAGTTGTGGTACTGGTATGGTATAGCAGTGTGGCAGTGTTGACCACAGAGTTGTTGTGCTGAATAAATAAGAGTTTCTTCAGAAGTTGGAAATCCTATGTGGTTTTCCTTTTTTCTTGTGTTTGGCCGGACTCGGAGGACAATTGCCCAATAAGTTCCTGGAATACAATACCTTTGGGAGACGTGTGGAATAGACATTTCAATTAGGCAAGATCAAGTTGCTCGTGGTTCAGTAAGTAAAAATACCACAATTTGTGGGGGTAGTAAGGGAAAATTGGGGTGAGGGGTCATGAAAGTCGAAAACAAATTGTGTACAAGTCCATGGGAATGTATCCCTAGGGTACAATTTTCGGTTTATATTTGCTATTTTCTGCTCGTAGCTGCACCAAATGTGCCCTATAAATAGCAGGCACTTTTCGTTTTCAAGAATTTGGACCAGGGCATACCTTTGATTTTGTATGATTTCGGTGATGGCCTCGTAGAGGGTTGTGTCCATGAGGTTCTTGATGTCCACCTTGACCGCCATCCCCCTCGTCCGGAGCCGGACGCAGTTGTCCCCCTGGTCGCCGAACACGGGCACGCAGACCACCGGCACTCCGTGGTAGACGCTCTCGTGAAGGCTGTTCAGCCCACCGTGTGATACGAACGCTCGCACTTTGGGATGGGCTGGTGAAAAATAATAATATAATGCCAATTAGTAATTACATTTTGTTTGTATCCCCTGTCCCATTCAATAGTGTTGCATAAACACACAAAATATAAAAAGTGTAAGACAAAAAATCGGAGGATTGCATAGTCTGCCTAGACGTCCACAGAAAAAAACCAGATTTTTTCCATGAAAAAAACATACATTGACATTTTTCCAGTCGATATTTCTTAATTTTTTCGAAGAACTGACAATACCTCATTAATGCTAGAATTCAGTGCATGCATGAGAAACCAGCCAGAGCTTAATGCTTTAACCAAATGCACTATGGAACGTGTAGTTCATGTCATCGGATTTTAGTTTTCGTTGTTCACGTGTGTCATGTGTAAGCCTAAAATGTGTTGAAATAAAGAGCTTCACTTTTGTGTTTTTTTAGTCTGTGATAGATGAAAAAATGTGATTTCGCACCTAACAGGTCATTTTGGGGTATCCTCGCCACTATGAGTGTGTTGTTTCCGACGGCAGAGGGCGCCCTACCGGAGAAGGCCCAGACCACTTTTTGCGGCAGGAGAGACAGGCTGGTTGCCATGGCTTGGGACTGTTGCTCCGTAAGTTGAGAGGTAATGAGGGTTCCCATGGTAACGACGACCAGACCAGCTTCACCGGAGCTGTTGGCAAATACATCTAGTTCCTGTTGTGGCAGAAAAAACACGAGACAGTTATCGGGGTTTTTCGGTGAGTAAACTTGAGATTGTTTTGCACGCTGTGCTCCGTGACCCGTGACCTCTATCTGTACCATTGCACGTGTAGTGCTTTTGAACAAAAAATGGCGCTAACGCGGTGCAGTACTCCGATGCTTCCCCCGCTCAGGCTTTCGCCGTGCAGTGTTGCTAAACCTCTTGGATGACGAGCTTTAAATTCATTCAGTGAAAATGTTGGTACCATCACCGAACTTGCTATAAAGTATTGAAATCTAAGTTATTTTATTTTGAAGGGGGAAAAAAAAATGAAACGACGCCCGCCAAAAAGGTCGTGTCCGGAAATTGGGCACAACATCGAAGGTTCGTTTATTATGGCGCACTTGAACACATCCCAAATTGGAAATGGCCAGATAGTTGACGATTATGAAAACCAATTATCTCCACTCACATATAATGTAGGCCTACATGGTTGTCGCAAAATGATTTCCTAAATATTTTTCGGTGGATTTTGACAGGATAAACTGCGCACTTACGAAACCATTATACTAAAGGGGCAATTGCACAGTGCCGGACGTACATTGTGGACATTTAACAGTGTGCATAATTATGGTTATAATCTTAAAGTGGATTTTAATGCTGCTTTAATGCACCACACTTATCAAAAAGAAATAATTCATCCGACTTTTTGCAGTACAGTATGTCCCCCAAAAAATGTCTGTCTGACTATTTTTAAAATAAGTACAAAACCATAAAGTCAATTTTTCTATTTTTTTTTATTGTGCAGATACTCTTCACCCTTGGCCTAAACCCCTATGAGTTTCATTGAATTTCCATCACGCCTAACTGCACAATGGTCAATTGATCACAACAACATTTTTGGACGCTGTTGACAAGTTCCTTGCCTTAATCAATTTCAGTGCTGTGTTATGTAAGCTGTGTAAAATCTAGTCCGAAAATTTGGGACTCTCAATACTGTGTATGAGAGTCCCAAAACTTAAGGTATTGAAAACATGCAAAACAAGAAAATATATAGACTGGCACCTTAAACAACCAGTCAAACAAAGCTTCAGTTCTGCATCAATCAACCGGCCAAAAGAATTTAAGAAACGTGGCATAAGCGGGAACTAGTCTTAATTTACTACACATTTCTCCATAGTCAAGCCACCAGACTATTGACACTGAATGAAGAGGTCAGTCTTTTCAAATAGTTGGACCATGGTTGGACATGTACCAGTCTAGTATTTAGCCCCATTTTGAAATCACTTGACTTCCTTCTCATGTGCCAAATATTGAAGAAAAGTCTCCTTAAAAAATTGAATTGAGTCTGCAAACTTGGTTGGTGACATACTGAGGACATTTTCTTTGCCCAGTGGAATTTTTGGAGAAATTTGCTGGCTAAACTGTGAGTAAAGTGGGCCTGATTTAGTTTTGCACGTTTCAGAGCACTCCAGAGCCCTGTCTGTGTAAAATCCTGCATGTTGTAAAAAAGGCTAAATGAATTGGGATTGGAATCATTTGCCCTTGAGCATTAAACTGAGGTCTTGCCATGATGACTGATAGCCAGGCAAACGATTCTAGTCCCAACCGCAGCCTTATGGGATTGGAATCATTTGCCCTTGAGCAATAAACTGAGGTCTTGCCAAAATTATGACTGATAGCCAGGCAAACGATTCTAGTCCCAACCGCAGCCTTTTTTTCGCATGGCGTGAATGATTTTACACAGCTTTATACATAACACAGCACTAAAATTGACTGAGGCAAGGAACCTGCTCACAGTGTCCAATCATGTTAATGTGATCAATTGAAAATTGTGCAGTGATGCATGACTGAAATTCAATGAAACTCATAGGGGCAATTCCACGGTTACTCACGTTACATTTTTGATGTACTTTTGAGTTTCCTTGGACTGTAATTACCTTACTGAAAAGGTTTAATAACTGTTATCCCCATGGTAAATAGAGTAGACCTAGACCTACCTAAGCACCAAAGATGACATCCAGAAAATTGGCTACTCACGTTTCGAAAATGTAATGTGAGTAACCGATTTTTGGGGTCTTGTTTATCATGCATAACACATTTTTCTGGATGTCATCTTTGGTGCTTAGGTAGGTCTAGGTCTGCTCTATCTACCATGGGGATAACAGTTATTAAACCTTTTTAGTAAGGTTATTACAGCCCAAGGAAACTCAAAAGTACATCAAAAATGTAACGTGAGTAACCGTTGAATTGCCCATAGGGGTTAAGGCCAAGGAAAAAGAGTATCTGCACAATCAATGATTTCCAAAATTGACTTAATGGTTTTGAACTTGTTTAAAAAATAGCCAGACGGCCACCTTTTTGGGGACATGCAGTGGTGGACAGGACGTAAAGGCCCACTAAGAGCTAAAAAATATCATGTTTCCTTTGCCTGAAAGCCCGATTTTGTGGGCTATCAGCTTTACTTCTTGTTGCTATTGAATTGGCATATGTTTGTATGTACATGTAATTATGTTATAAAAATATATTTAAAATAATTATAATAAATACATATTTAAAGTAATGACTGCTGTATACTGATTGGTTAACTGGTCACAAAAGAAATCGATTTTTTTTAATAGGGAGCAGGTAATTTTAACACGATCTTAGGGTTGGACGAACATGACCATATTAGGGGGTTGAGCTCTCATCACATTAGTGAGTGCAGCCTATTTTTATTTTACAATTTTATCGAGTTAGTGAATTTGATGATTTTTTTTCGTGTTTTCGATTTCAGCCGTATTTTGACGCAGAGGAGGCACGCAGTTTAATTTGGCATGCACTCGGGACAAGTACAGGTCTGTATGGTCAATTCTCTGCTTTCTTCATGTTGTCAAATGGGACGTTCCTGAAGTGCGGCCAATAGGGCTACAAAACGCATTTTCCGAATTATGTTAATTGGAAAGAGCATTGAATAGTAGGATAAAAACGTCCATACAACATATCCTTTTAAATTCATTTTTGTGTTGTTCTTGCGAGAACCATGCCAGAACGAATTTCGGGGGTCACAAAATTGATTCCGAAAAATCGAGCTGTTCATGCTGGTTGTAAATTCTGCCGCACAGTGGTTTGCATTCTGCGGAAGAAACAACAATCCGATAATGTGTACACAGATATCATGTTCACACACACAGCGTGTGATTAGAGACGGCTTGAAATACGTGTGCTTATGCCACAAATATCCGATGTAAAAAACGGGGGTTTGAGAAGTGAATAGAGAATCACCGATGCTGATTGGCTCGTTAAAGTGAATCGTACCTTTACTTTATTCATGTTATTTTTTTATACCGCAGTGCGGGCGACGTACCCGAACCACACACATATTAAACAATATGGAGCGCTTGGAAAAACGGCTGGTAGTATGTCACTTTGTTAAAAGGAAAGAAAGAAAATGATTACCAGCATATTTACCAATAATAGGGTTTTCTACGAGGATTAATATACAATTAATTAGTATGCAACAATCTGTTTACATTTCCTGTTACGCCGTGCAAATACCTGCAAAAGTTGAAAAACGTGTGCTTATGCCACAAATATCCGCCGCGTCCGATGTAAAAAAACGGGGGTTTTCCTCGGGAACGGTAATACATTAAGTTAGTTTCCTTTCTACCAGACATTTGAAATGGGTTTATAAGTAAACAATCCAAAACATGAAATGTTCGGGTATTTTAGGCCGTAATGTTCCTTTAACATGATGATCGACTTAACCCATTACCACTTGGTACCACATTGTATTACATTGTGTTTATTCACTGAAGAATCAATAAAGCCATTGAGTGCTCGGGCGGTTTTGGGCGCTACAGTGACTAAATGTTAATTTATTTATGCATGTAAGCCCAGATATGGGCACTGATTACCTTTTCTTTAAATTGCAAACATGCCAGCAAATGTTTGCACATTGAAATATATAAAAAAAAAATTAAAACAATTGAAAAGTAAAACAATAAAAGAAACATAATTGCTCGGTGCTGATTGGTTTACTAATGACACAGAAAACGCTTCACTGCGTTTCATTCACAACTGCGATAATACTGTGGTTCATTTTGCCTAATTTCAATACAACCCGCAAATTGAATAAATTAAGAACCCCGATCACTTAATTTGTTTTAATCAGATCCGTTCTACGGTGTGCATACGTTTACCTCAATGAGTTGACTCGGTGGACCGGTCAGAACTCCCCCTACAAACCTGACGTGTGATGGTAAAGGTCGAACGAAATCAACAAGAAAGTTGGAGCTAAAAATCCACATTTCGGCTTCCGGAATGAGTTGCTGGAACGTGACATCCGGTCTCAAGTTGTGCCTCTGTTGAACGATTTCGAAGGTTTGCAGAACAAGTTTGTTGTAGAAGTATCTCACCAGATGGTACATCAGTGTATTTTTGAAGCGCTGGCGGAAAGTCAATTGATCGGGAAATTCGCTGGTACGTTCGGGAACATAGGCGGGACTGACAGGGTTACCAGCGAATATATCATGTTCCGAGGGTACCATCGACGTCAAGCCAAAGTGGATAAAGGGGATAGAGAGTTTTTGGCTTAGAAGAACGTAGCAACGGAAAACGGTATCCCCTACAATCATGTCGTAATTTGAGGCGCTCAATTTTGCGATAAGTTCGGTATTTTCAGGATATCGTCGCAGAAACTTGCGTTGAGATCGAAAATTGTGTGATCATCCTGACCTGGATAATCTGGTGGAGGTAGTTCATCAATGACGTCATTGGGAGCACAGCCGCGAAGGGCACTTCGAACATATTTGTCTATGTTGCGGAGCAGTGTTTCTAATGAAAAGGATCTCTGGACGGGAATGATGTCCATATTTGGCGGGAAATCTCGGCCATCCTTACCGCTGTCGTATGATTCCTGATCGATGGAGACAGTCACGTGATGCCCTCTTCGAACCAACGACTTACTAATCGCAACGCCCGCTGGGTAATGACTACCAATACCTCCTGCAAAAACGTAAAGGATTCTGCTGCCTAAAGCTACTGCACGAAAAAGCACGATATGGCCCGACAAGCAGCAAATCAGAATCAGATACAAGGCTCCCATTTCTAGTGCACTCGAGGTTTACTGCCGTTGCACTTTGCAATTCAGTGTCAAAACACAGACTATGTAGACCTAAGTGAGCATGAGTTCCAAGACAAAGCAAATGAGAACATACTTAGTGTCTTAGCTTTAATAAGCAAGCATGTATTATGCATTAGACTTTGTGTGAGAAATGAATAGAGAATCGCCGATGCTGATTGGCTCGCTAAAGTGAATCGTACCTTTACTTTATTCATGTTATTTTTTTTACCGCAGTGCGGGCGACGTACCCGAACCACACACATATTAAACAATATGGAGCGCTTGGAAAAACGGCTGGTAGTATGTCACTTTGTTAAAAGGAAAGAAAGAAAATGATTACCAGCATATTTACCAATAATAGGGTTTTCTACGAGGATTAATATACAATTAATTAGTATGCAACAATCTGTTTACATTTCCTGTTACGCCGTGCAAATACCTGCAAAAAGTTGTGGTGATTTAAATAGTGTCGTGGGGAGTGTGGCCTAGTGGTAAGGGTTCGTGACTCATGATCAGAGGGTCAGGGGTTCGAATCCAGCTAGCTGCTGGCCATTATCTTGTGTCCTTGGGCAAGCCACTTCACTTCCGCTCGCCCTCTCCACCCGAGAGTATCAACGGGCACCGGTATTAGCTGGGGAGTAAATTGCGATGGATTAGCATCCCATCCAGAGGGAGTAGAAATATCTCAGTCACTTCATGCTACTGAAACTGGAGATGTACGCCGGCCTGATGGGCCACATTGGCTCGTAACAGACTTTACTTTACTGAATGATGTGCTTATACTTACCTCAATGAGTTGACTCGGTGGACCGGTCAGTACTCCCCCTACAAACCTGACGTGTGGTGGTAAAGGTCGAGCGAAATCAACGAGAAAGTTGGAGCTAAAAATCCACATTTCGGCTTCCGGAATGAGTTGCTGGAACGTGACATCCGGCCTCAAACGGTGCCTCTGTTGAACTAGTTCAAAGGTTTGTAGAACGAGTTTGTTGTAGAAGTATCTCACCAGATGGTACATCAGTGTATTTTTGAATCGCTGGCGGAAAGTCAGCTGATCGGTAAGTTCGCTGGCGCGTTCGGGAACGTAGGCGGGACTGACTGGGTTACCAGCGAAGATATCATGCTGCGAGGGTGCCATCGGCGTCAAGCCAAAGTGGATAAAGGGAACGGAGAGTTTTTGGCTTAACAGAGCGTAGCAAAGAAAAGTAGTATCCCCTACAATCATGTCGAATCTTGAGGCGCTCAATTTTGCGATAAGTTCGGTATTTTTCAGGATATCGTCGCAGAAACTTGCGCTGAGATCGAAAATTGTGTGATCATCCTGACCTGGATAATCCTGTGGAGGTAGTTCATCAATGACGTCATTGGGAGCACAGCTGCGAAGGGCACTTCGAACATATTTGTCAATGGTGCGGAACGTTGTTTCCAGTGGAAAAGATGCCCGGAAGGTTATGGTTTCCACATTTGGCGGGAAATCTCGGCCATCCTTAACGCTGTCGTATGATTCCTGACTGATGCAGACAGTCACGTGATGCCCTCTTCGAACCAACGACTTACTAATCGCAACGCCCGCTGGGTAATGACTACCAATACCTCCTGCAGACACGTAAAGGATTCTGCTGCCTAAAGCTACTGCACGAAAAAGCACGATATGGCCCGACAAGCAGCAAATCAGAATCAGATACAAGGCTCCCATTTCTAGTGCACTCGAGGTTTACTGCCGTTGCCCTTTGCAATTCAGTGTCAAAACACAGACAATGTAGACCTAAGTGAGCATGAGTTACAAGACAAAGCAAATGAGAACATACTTAGTATCTTAGCCTTAATAAGCGAGCATGTGTTGATGCATTAGACTTTGTGTGAGAAGTGAATAGAGAATCGCCGATGCTGATTGGCTCGTTAAAGTGAATCGTACCTTTACTTTATTCATGTTATTTTTTTTATCGCAGTGCGAGCGACGCACCCGAACCACACACATATTAAACAATGTGGAGCGCTTAGAAAAACGGCTGGTAGTATGTCACTTTTTTTAAAAGGAAAGAAAGAAAATGATTACCAGCATAATTACCAATAATAGGGTTTTCTACGAGGATTAATATACAATTAATTAGTATGCAACAATCTATTTACATTTCCTGTTACGCCGTGCAAATACCTGCAAAAAGTTGTGGTGATTTAAATAGTGTCGTAGGGAGTGTGGCCTAGTGGTAAGGGTTCGTGACTCATGATCAGAGGTAGGGAGTGTGGCCTAGTGGTAAGGGTTCGTGACTCATGATCAGAGGGTCAGGGGTTCGAATCCAGCTAGCTGCTGGCCATTATCTTGTGTCCTTGGGCAAGCCACTTCACTTCCGCTCGCCCCTCTCCACCCGAGAGTATAAACGGGCACCGGTATTAGCTGGGGAGTAAATTGCGATGGATTAGCATCCCATCCAGAGGGAGTAGAAATATCTCAGTCACTTCATGCTACTGAAACTGGAGATGTACGCCGGCCTGATGGGCCACATTGGCTCGTAACAGACTTTACTTTACTGAATGCTGTGCTTATACTTACCTCAATGAGTTGACTCGGTGGACCGGTCAGTACTCCCCCTACAAACCTGACGTGTGGTGGTAAAGGTCGAGCGAAATCAACAAGAAAGTTGGAGCTAAAAATCCACATTTCGGCTTCCGGAATGAGTTGCTGGAACGTGACATCCGGCCTCAAACTGTGCCTCTGTTGAACTATTTCGAAGGTTTGCAGAACAAGTTTGTTGTAGAAGTATCTCACAAGATGGTACATCAGTGTATTTTTGAAGCGCTGGCGGAAAGTCAGCTGGTCGGTGAGTTCGCTGGCGCGTTCGGGAACGTAGGCGGGACTGACGGGGTTACCAGCGAAGATATCATGCTGCGAGGGTGCCATCGACGTCAAGCCAAAGTGGATGAAAGGAACGGAGAGTTTTTGGCTTAGGAGAACGTAGCAAAGGAAAACAGAATCCCCAATAATCATGTCGTAATTTGAGGCGCTCAATTTTGCGATGAGTTCGGTGTTGTTCAGGATATCGTCGCAGAAACCTTCGTTTAAATCGGAAAATGTGTGATCATCCTGACCTGGATAATCCGGTGGAGGTAGTTCATCAATGACGTCATTGGGAGAACAGCCGCGAAGGGCACTTCGAACGTACTTGTCTATGCAGCGGAGCGATGTTGCCAATGACAATGATCGTTGGAAGGGAATAATGTCCATATTTGGCGGGAAATCTCGGCCATCCTCACCCTTGTCGTATGAACCCTGATCGATGGCTACGGTCACGTGATGTCCTCGTCGAACCAACGCCTTACTAATCCCAACGCTCGCTGGGTAATGACTACCAATACCTCCTGCAGTCACGTAAAGGATTCTGCTGCCTAAAGCTACTGCACGAAAAAGCACGATATGGCCCGACAAGCAGCAAATCAGAATCAGATACAAGGCTCCCATTTCTATTGCACTCGAGGTTTACTGCCGTTGCACTTTGCAATTCAGTGTCAAAACACAGACTATGTAGACCTAAGTGAGCATGAGTTCCAAGACAAAGCAAATGAGAACATACTTAGTGTCTTAGCTTTAATAAGCGAGTATGTATTATGCATTAGACTTTGTGTGAGAAATGAATAGAGAATCGCCGATGCTGATTGGCTCGTTGAAGTGAATCGTACCTTTACTTTATTCATGTTATTTGTTTTTACCGCAGTGCGGGCGACGTACCCGAACCACACACATATTAAACAATATGGAGCGCTTAGAAAAACGGCTGGTAGTATGTCATTTTGTTAAAAGGAAAGAAAGAAAATGATTACCAGCATATTTACCAATAATAGGGTTTTCTACGAGGATTAATATACAATTAATTATTATGCAACAATCTGTTTACATTTCCTGTTACGCCGTGCAAATACCTGCAAAAAGTTGTGGTGATTTAAATAGTGTCGTAGGGAGTGTGGCCTAGTGGTAAGGGTTCGTGACTCATGATCAGAGGTAGGGAGTGTGGCCTAGTGGTAAGGGTTCGTGACTCATGATCAGAGGGTCAGGGGTTCGAATCCAGCTAGCTGCTGGCCATTATCTTGTGTCCTTGGGCGTTTTTACCAATTATAGGGTTTTCTACGAGGATTAATTATTATGCAACAATCTGTTTACATTTCCTGTTACGCCGTGCAAATACCTTCAAAAGTTGTGGTGATTTAAATAGTGTCGTCGGGAGTGTGGCCTAGTGGTAAGGGTTCGTGACTCATGATCAGAGGGTCAGGGGTTCGAATCCAGCTAGCTGCTGGCCATTATCTTGTGTCCTTGGGCAAGCCACTTCACTTCCGCTCGCCCCTCTCCACCCGAGAGTATAAACGGGTACCGGTATTTGCTAGGGAGTAAATTGCGATGGATTAGCATCCCATCCAGAGGGAGTAGAAATATCTCAGTCACTTCATGCTACTGAAACTGGAGATGTACGCCGGCCTGATGGGCCACATTGGCTCGTAACAGACTTTACTTTACTGAATGCTGTGCTTATACTTACCTCAATGAGTTGACTCGGTGGACCGGTCAGAACTCCCCCTACAAACCTGACGTGTGGGGGTAAAGGTCGAGCGAAATCAACAAGAAAGTTGGAGCTAAAAATCCACATTTCGGCTTCCGGAATGAGTTGCTGGAACGTGACATCCGGCCTCAGACTGTGCCTCTGTTGAACTATTTCAAAGGTTTGCAGAACGAGTTTGTTGTAGAAGTATCTTACCAGATGGTACATCAGTGTATTTTTGAAGCGCTGGCAGAAAGTCAGCTGATCGGTAAGTTCGCTGGCGCGTTCGGGAACGTAGGCGGGACTGACAGGGTTACCAGCGAAGATATCATGCTGCGAGGATACCATCGACGTCAAGCCAAAGTGGATAAAGGGAACGGAGAGTGTTTGGCTTAACAGAACGTAGCAAAGGAAAACAGTATCCCCTACAATCATGTCGAATCTCGAGGCTCTGAATTTTGCGATTAATTCGGTGTTTTTTAGGGCATTGTCGCAGAAGATTTCGTGCAGACGGGAAATTGTGTGATCATCCTGACCAGGATAATCCGGTGGAGGTAGTTCATCAATGACGTCATTGGGGGAACAGCCGCGAAGGGTACTTCGTACGTACTTGTCTATGGTGCGAAACACTGTTTCCGGTAGAAATGATGTCGGGAAGGGAATGATGTCAATATTTGGCGGGAAATCTTGGCCATCCTCACCCCTGTCGTATGAAGCCTGATCGATGGAGACAGTCACCTGATGTCCCCGTCGAATCATTGCCTTACTAATCGCAATTGCTGATGGGTAATGACTCCCATTGCCTCCTGCAGTCACGTAAAGGATTCTGCTGCCTGAAGCTTCTCAAAGAAAAAGCGATATGTGAACGCAGAAGTAGCAAAATAGAATCAGATGCAAGGCTCCCATTTCTAGTGCCCTCAAGGTTTATTGCCGTTGCGCTTGCATTTCTGTGGCGAGAAGACGGACTATGTAGGCCTAAGTGAGCATGAGTTCCAAGTCAACACACTCAGTGTCGTAGCTTTAATGAGCGAGAATGGATTTTGCATTAGCCTATGTGTGATAAGCCAATAAAGAATCATCGCTGCTACTGACTGGCTCGTTAAAGTGAACAAAAACCTCGGCCTCAGTCATAAATACTTATATGTCCACTCAACAATTCGCCAATACCCTGATGCATTCTAAGTGCCCGAGTCCCAGTGCCGAGAAGTAGAAGGTTTTGAAAAACGGCTGGTAGTATGTCACGTTGTTGAAATGCTGGAGGGAAAAGTAATACCAGCATAATTTTCAATAAAGGGCATTTTACAAGGATAAACATACAAAAGATCCCGCAAATTTTCTTTTACGCTTTATAAATATAGTACAAAGTCAAGCTGTAGTGTTTATAAAGAAGTACTTGAAGTATTGCGTGCTAATACTTACCTTATTTAGTTGACTCGGTGGACCGGTCAGTACTCCCCCTACAAACCTGACGTGTGGTGGTAAAGGTCGGGCGAAATCAACGAGAAAGTTGGAGCTAAAAATCCACATTTCGGCTTCCGCAATGAGCTGCTGGAACGTGACATCCGGCCTCAAACTGTGCCTCTGTTGGACGATTTCGAAGGTTTGTAGAACGAGTTTGTTGTAGAAGTATCTCACAAGATGGTACATCAGTGTATTTTTGAAGCGCTGGCGGAAAGTCAGCTGATCGGTGAGTTCGCTGGCGCGTTCGGGAACGTAGGCGGGACTGACGGGGTTACCAGCGAAGATATCATGCTGCGAGGGTACCATCGACGTCAAGCCAAAGTGGATGAAAGGAACGGAGAGTTTTTGGCTTAGAAGAACGTAGCAAAGGAAAACAGAATCCCCAATAATCATGTCGTAATTTGAGGCGCTCAATTTTGCGATGAGTTCGGTGTTGTTCAGGATATCGTTGCAGAAACCTTCGTTTAAATCGGAAAATGTGTGATCATCCTGACCTGGATAATCCGGTGGAGGTAGTTCATCAATGACGTCATTGGGAGAACAGCCGCGAAGGGCACTTCGAACGTACTTGTCTATGCAGCGGAGCGATGTTGCCAATGACAATGATCGCTGGAAGGGAATAATGTCCATATTTGGCGGGAAATATCGGCCATCCTCACCCTTGTCGTATGAACCCTGATCGATGGCTACGGTCACGTGATGTCCTCGTCGAACCAACGCCTTACTAATCCCAACGCTCGATGGGTAATGACTACCAATACCTCCTGCAGTCACGTAAAGGATTCTGCTGCCTAAAGCTACTCCACGAAAAAGCACGATATGGCCCGACAAGCAGCAAAATAGAATCACATACAAGGCTCCCATTGTGCCCTCGAGGTTGACTGCCGTTACTTTGTAGACCTAAGTGAGTGTGAGTTCCAAGTCAAAGCGAATGAGAACCCACTCCATGTCTTAGCTTGTATAAGCGAGAATGGATTATGCATTAGACTAGCCTATGTGTGAAACGAGAATAAAGAGTTATCGCTGCTGCTGATTGGCTCGTTAAGCATACTGAACAAGACCTTGACTGTAGTCATAAATATGTATCTTTCCACTCAACAATTTGCCAAACCCCTATGCGGCTCAGTGCCCAATTCACAGTGCCGACTGAGATATGAGGGTTTCTAAAAAAAACCGCTGGTATATTTGTCACGTTGGTAAAATGCTAGAGAGAAAATCATTACCAGCATAAATTGTAGAAGTGTCTTACGACGTTGAACTTATAAACATATACTACAGAATAATGTAAATTTCCTTTTGCGCTTGATAAATACCGAGCCTACAAAACTTGTATTTTTTTTTTTTAGAGCCCCTCCCCCTTTACGCATGGCGTCCACACTTGTTCCACCCCCCGTACGCATACGCATTCCGGTGTACAGTAAACATGTACCAGATATGTATGAACATGTCCATGTAGTACGAATGCGCTATGCTACCCGGCTAATTGAAGCAGTTTTTTTATTGGCGATTTTGTAGTTGAGGTTCTTGAACTTACCAAACTAGTTATAGCGACATTTAAAACCAACAAGAGTGTCATGAATAGAGGGCAGGGTTTGATTTTTTGTTGGAAATTTTTGGGTAAAACGATGACGAAGACGACAAAATGCAACACGAAAAAAAAAAGATGGCGATCACCGCGACGCACCGTAATGCGCCAAAACCGCGTTGATTCACATTGCATGAACTGTAAAATGCGTACGAAAATCGCATTTTCGACAGAAAGATACTGTTCAAATTCCAAACAATTATTGTCGTTAGATTTAAGAGAATTCAGCTTTAGTTTACGGAATTTGTTTTGAAACTATCAAAAACTCTAGTGACTCTAAGTACTCGACTAATGCCCGTATCACAATCGACTTTGTATCATGTCGCTGGCTCTGAAGTTTTAATATGACCTCTAAAAGGCGTCGGTCGGCTGGCGGAAGCTGACACTGGGAAGATTATCTAAATGGTGGGGATGAAGTGTATGTGTTTTCGATGCATAAAAGCTGGTCCTGGTATACATGTTGGTATTCATTATGAGAAAATACATTTATTTTAAAGACAATTTATTGAAAGCTAATTTTTGCTCTGCGTATACGTACGCATTGACTGCGATCCCCTCCCTCGTGTATGTACGCATGGTGTACGCAATGTTAACATCAACCCCCCCCCCCTCCCCAGTCCATGTAATAGACCCATGACGAATGCCATGGATCTATTATGTGATCTGATTCGCCGATTAATTAGGGAAGACCCCGCCTCTTGACCTCCCAGATTTTGACCAATCAGCGGGCGCTTTCTATATCAGGTCTTCGGTCATTCACCCGTATACGCGTCATAGACAATGGATTAAAAAAAAAATGCGTAACGCGCTCTGTATCATGTTATGCGACAATGCGCCCGGCTGTTGTTGCATTACAAAACACTGCATTCGAATTGACCATTCAAACCATTTAGTCCTGATTTTACGAAATGACGTCACGATTTAGTAAAGTCGACTCCGATTGGCTGGCGCGCGGCTTGTATATATGTATATCTAGACATAGCAGACGCTATACAGGAGTCTTGCTCCGTGGATAACGGGTAATACTCAGACTACCCCCCCCCCCCGTGCGTATACTTACTTTATAGACGACCCCTTACCTCAATGAGTTGACTCGGTGGACCGGTCAGAACTCCCCCTACAAACCTGACGTGTGGTGGTAAAGGTCGAGCGAAATCAACGAGAAAGTTGGAGCTAAAAATCCACATTTCGGCTTCCGGAATCAGTTGCTGGAACGTGACATCCGGCCTCAAACTGTGCCTCTGTTGAACTATTTCAAAGGTTTGCAGAACGAGTTTGTTGTAGAAGTATCTCACCAGATGGTACATCAGTGTATTTTTGAAGCGCTGGCGGAAAGTCAGCTGATCGGTAAGTTCGCTGGCGCGTTCGGGAACATAGGCGGGACTGACAGGGTTACCAGCGAAGATATCATGCTGCGAGGGTACCATCGATGTCAAGCCAAAGTGGATAAAGGGAACGGACAGTTTTTGGCTTAATAGAGCATAGCAAAGGAAAACAGTATCCCCTACAATCATGTCGTAGCTTGCCGCTCTTAATTTTGCGATAAGTTCGGTGTCGTTCAGGATATCGTCGCAGAAAATTTCGTTCAAATCGAAAAGTGTGTGATTGTCCTGACCTGGATAATCCGGTGGAGGTAGTTGATCAATGACGTCATTGGGGGAACATCCGCGAAGGGTGCTTCGAACATATTTGTCAATGGTGCGGAACGTTGTTTCCAGTGGAAAAGATGCCGGGAAGGTTATGGTTTCCATATTTGCTGGGAAATTCCGGTCATCCTCACCCCTTTCGTATGAATCCTGATCGATGGAAACGGTCACGTGATGTCCCCGTCGAGCCAACGCCTTACTTATCTCAACGCCCGCTGGGTAATGACTCCCAACACCTCCTGTAGTCACGTAAAGGATTTTACTGCATGAAGCTACTCCGATACAAAGCAAAATATGGCCCGACAAGCAGCCCAATAGAGTCAGATACGAAACTTCCATTTCTAGTGCTCTCGGAGGTTTACTGCCGTTGACCTTGCCTTTCAGTCTCAAGAACCCGGACTGTGACAGCAAACAAGCCGACAAAGTCAAACCTGAAATGATCACAGGCCAACCTGTTCAAATTCCTAGCTACATGAACTAAAATATATTCTGCATTATATGAACGAGAGCCCATAAAGACGCGCCATTGACTGCCTAGTCAAAAATGGTTTGTGACTAATTTACATAAAATAAGGTCTAGTTATAAATGTATGAATATGGATTTTTTCCACTCAACTGTTCGCCAATATCCTCATGCGGGCAGGTCAAAGTGCCCGAGTCCTTGCCGGGAAAACTGCTGGTAATACATGTGTGTCACGTCGTTGAAATACCAGCATAATTTTCAACTATAGAGATTTGACATTGTCTTAAGAATCAGTTATATGTTTATGTGGCCTCGTGGTTAAGGGCACTGATTCGTGGTCTGCGGGTAAAGCTGCAGGTTGTGGGTTCGAGTCCTGGCGGGGTCATGGTGCGTGTGCCCTTGGGCAAAGCACTTTGTCACTAATTGCTTCTCTCCACCCAGGAGTAAATGGGTACCTTTGAGGGCAGAGATGGCTATTGTGATTGAATTAGCTTCCTTGCGCCTAACAGGCTGCATCGAGCTGTATACTCCCCAGGGAGCTGAGATGGTATTTGGAATGTTTCATGTGCCCAATGAGCAGGGGTAATAATGATGTAGAGCCTTGAGCACCAGTCCTGGTGGATACGTGCGCTTTATAAATAACCACTGTTATTATTATTACTATTATTTATGCCACAAAAATACCAGGGAAAATATGAAGTTCATACTTGTTTGATTTAAGCATTTATTAATTTGAACAACTGCATCCTTTAGGGTAGTCTATGTTATAGACCACGGCGAATGTCATGGTCTATTACAGCATTTGGTTCCGTGGATAACGGGTGGTACTCAGACTACCTTTAGGGATCAATAGATTACAAACGCATTGGCAAGTTACTTCCGGTTTGATGACGTTATATAAAAAAGTGCTAAATTTGTACTTGTTTATTTTAGAAAGGTTATGCTAGATAAAGTGAAAAGAACTTCTGGAAAAGCTAATTCGCACGTATGTGTGAATGCATTCAATATTAACACGTACCTGACGTCCGGTTTGATGACGTCACAGCATAAGACATTATTTTGAAATTCTCCCTACAATAACATCCAGTCTGATGACGTCATCATCGTTAATCGTTGTAATTTGGTACTTTATAACGCCATGATGACATCGCAATTTTTGTCACATCTTTGGACACCGATGATGCATGTTTGTGCAAAGTTTCATCTTCATCCATTATCCATTAGAGAGATTTGTGTGTGTGTTAAGTTTCTCTGAGCGTCCTGTTCCTATTTTCATAGTAAAACCTTTTTTTTACATATAAAAAGAGAGCGGACGATTATTTAATAGTGTCTCTCAGACGATCAGTGTGAAACTTAAACAACGTAATGGATGGTTGATAAAGGTGTGTGGGAAGAAAACGTATGACCAGAAGCGGGCGCTCTCACCACATTAGCGAGTTATTTATTTCACTTTCCTAAGTGATAAATATTTTGTCGTGGTTGAGAAATTGATGACTTTTTTTCATGTTACTTTCGATTCTAGCTGTACTGCGCAAAGGAAGAACGCAGTGATTTTGATATGCACTGGACAGCTACGGGCCAACATTTACACTAAAGCAAAGTGGAGGTGCAGATAAGCCAAGCTACATGTGAGTACGAAGATTTGTTTTTATACCTTCTTGAGCTATTTATTACGCCTGTATAAAAGCAAGATGCAAAAACGATAAATATAAACAGAAGAATTCATTTCAATTAACCATCATGATTAAAAACATGAAATTCTACATCCCGTGCCTTATAACAGTTTAAAGACTTAAAAAAATCCACAAAACAACTTACAGTCACTTACAAAGAGAAAATAAACTATTTCAATAATTTATGTTAAAACATCGATCCATTTATACAGAAGAATTATTTTTGGGGGTCTTCTTCTTAAAACGGTAGCGCAAAATAACTTGCTTCTTAAGAGAATTCATAAAACTGCATTCATGATGAAAGTTATGATGCAGTAACCAAAGACTCATCATAAACTGCGCCGGGAGTGTTTCAAATCGCTATTTTTTAGACGCGAGTCGTAACGGTTTTACTAAAAATGACAGTTATGGTGTGCGTTCAATTGGTTAAAAACGGTTGGAAGAGGGGAAAAACGATATTATGACTTGCAAAAGTAACTAATAACTCTGCGTATGCGATAATAAAATGCTAAAGAGTTTTACAAATTATACAATGACCTTAAAAATAGTAACTTTAGCAAATTATAACACACTTTTTCACACTTAATACAATGAAGGCCGAAACTACTATCCGTATTCCACTACATTTCTTTTTGATCTTTGCGTTTTTAGTGCAAAACACACTTAAAGGCAGTGTTTTTATGTAACTGTCAGTTTCAAAGACGACGAAAACACATGATATGCTACAAAAAAAATATTACATAAAAGTGCATCTCATTAAATGTTTTGCCTAATTATTTGGAAGGTCCCCGAGGTCTCGTGGCTACAATTTTTTTTAAAGATAAAACAAACTTCCTAATCGCAATGCAATGATAAATTTCCCTGGGGGACGATGAGTTCCCATAATTTGTTTTCCAGTTTTTTTTTCGTACGGCCCTGCAATTCAAAAGTTTTGAGATCGTGGTTTACAAAAAACTGGTTACCAGAAGCTTGCAATATTTTGTTAAGGGGGATGGAAGGAGTAGTTTGATAACAGGTCCAGTACAGCTGCTTAAGCCCTTTACATTTCTGAGCAAATGTAGGTTTTATATAATGTACTAATTATTAGTATGCTGAAAACCAATCACAAGCAATAAACATCTACAGTTTTGCTGGTAACCTGCCTTTGCTAAAGCAAATAATTCTTACTAGGCATAACAGCTCCATGGAATTTACCCACTGACCTCTATACTAATTGAACTGGCTGCAACAAACTGGCCAATGCACCTTGAAGCAACAGATCCGCCATCCTGGATCCCCCAAAAATCACTTTCTTCTATTGTTTTATTTCCACTTCAAAAACAAAAACTCCCGTAATGATCAATTATTCTTTGGTTGTTGACCTCTCTATAAAGATTGATTCATTCCACACACAAAAACTGATCAGAAAATACAATTCTTATTTTCGCGCCTTAACTCTGCAGAAGAAATCAAATTGCAACTACCTGTTAAAATAATCGCGTTAAGGCAACTACGCATGCGTCATGGTTGACCCAAGATGGCAGACGCTGCTTGGCTGGCTTCGTTTTATGTTTACACTTCCGGTGGTCCGCCGTGCTTTTCTTCCGTTGGTGGAGGTGCAGCGTACTGATCCTGTGCTGGCGCGGTGGCGTACTGCACCGGTGCCTGCTGCTGACCCGCGGCGTCCGGCGGCGCCTGACCTCCCGGGCCCGCGTATTGTGCCTGCGCTGGTTGCGCTGTGTATAGCATCTGCACTGGCTGACCGGCGTATTGTGTCTGGAGAGGCTGGGCCGGGTACTGTTGCCCGGCTGGGTACGCCGCGGCATTGTAAACCTGTGTTTTCGGTAGGCAGGAAAAATCAATACATTGTAGACATTTCCGTAGACTTGGCACAACCCACTTTAATGACACTTAACCCTGACTTCAACTATAATCTAACTAAACTGTGTATCAGGTTTTGGATTAGGAGAAATCGATTTAGGCTATTTGCGACACTAAAATTATGCCTAGAAGGTACAACTTTTTAGCGAAACGTGTCTCCCTTATGGGCCATTTGCGAGCATATCGAGAGTTTTTGTCATTCTTATTGGACCATTATTTGGCAGCCCTAAATTTGACTGCGCTTGTCTGGAGATTATGCGCCTGTCTCCCCCCCCCCCCCCCCCCCCCCCAGCCGCGCTGCCCCAGGCCCGATGTCAGGGTTTGGTCACGTTTTTCATGCCTCCATTTTTCGACCCTAATTTTATCAAATCTGCTCTTAGGTAATAGCCCAAAATCTAGGGAGATAATCGTCGGCTACATTCGCACGATTCCACCGATTTTTAAACTAGGCGGTCTCTTTTTTTTACAAAAAAATTGTAGGGTCACTTTTTATGCAAATGACTCGCGTAGAAAATTTTGAATTCCTCATCAATCGAAAATTGCGCCCGCTGTCGGTCTTATTGCGCCATTCGTTTATAGCGTATGTCTAGCCCCACTCCCACCCCCACCACCACACCAAAAAATAATAGCAATTAAATACTGTTTAAAATGTGCTCATTTATTCATAAATTCGTAAAGTATAATATCCAAACGGATTGGATGTTTCCAAAGTATCTTTCCCACTTGCAAAAGTTCTTTCTGAAAGCCCACTCAAGCCATTGGAAACACACTCTCGTAGAAAATGGTCCGGTTAACTTATTCTTTATGATGGGACTTGCGGTTTAGCGAAGTCAGTTGAGTGCGATCGGCTGGCTTATAGTAAGGTTTACGCACAAAATCCCGGCCAATGAGGTTTTGCATAAAATAGTGGCCGGCCACTTTTTTGACGTGAGTGTGCTGGTAATGTCAAAAAACATTGTTGACATTGGCGTACTGGAAAGGCAATCACTTAGTGCGCCCCAGCCCCACGTGTGTATGCCGGAGATTGTCACTTAAATTTTGCCCGAGGGTGGGGATTTTGTCACTTCAAAAGTGACAATCCCCACGTCTTTGGTGGGGCAGCCCGGGGGAGGGGGGGGGGGAACAATTGATAGGCTCATTATGGTTTTACAGTGTCAGTGTGCGTCCAAGCTTTCATATTTCAAATTCCCTCTACTGCCGTAATCCAGCCAACTTGTAACTTCAATATTCTGGTTCCCTGAAAAACACTATTTTCTGACGTCATCAGGTAGTCGTCACATAGAATGAACTCTAACGCCGCAAAGCCCTACCTTATCGCGTGATCGATTCAATGAATGCAGCATATTCAGGACTGACAAATAAAACCCAAAACCCAAACAAACCAAAACAAATCCAAAACAAACCATAGGGCCTACAACCATTTTACAATTATTTTACGCCAACACCCCCTAGCTATTCCGTTTATCAACCAAACCTTGTTGAGAACCTCGGAAAAATTCGGAATGGAAGAAAACCGTCGGTATTGATCATGTCGTATTCGCGTTGACCTGACCTAAGATTCGCTGATAGTCTGGATCTGTTGGTCTGGTACCAAGACGAGAATTTAACGTACCACAGTAGTAGATGGCGTTGGTCGGGGGGCCACCCTGAAGACCCGGAATGAGTAGACAGCAGCCACGATGCAAACCACGCCCTCTAAAAGGGCAACGATGATTGAAATACCGTCCACCACTATATCAAGGGCCTATAGATATGACATAAAAAAACCCAATTTGGTATTAACCCTTTACATATTTTTGTTTACATATCTATAAGTCACGTTTAGTAAAGTCTTTCTCACTCACAAGTAACATCCAGCTCTATCACATAAGCGGAATTGTTAGTGAAAGTTATGAAAAATATAATGGACTGATCTGATCCCATATTTGGAATGTTAACAGACAGACATTGGATGTTCTGTAGAAGATATTCCAGTTTTCCTATAATAATTTTAAACGATTTTATATTGGCTTCAGAGCTGCCTTTCTACAGGCTTCAGAGCTGCATTGTTTTTTTTTTTTTTTTTTTTTTTTTGGGGGGGGGGGGATTTGAGGGTATCTTTGGGTCCATTCCCAGAAAAACGGACTCACTGTCAAAAAGAAAAAAAGGAGAACAAATGGGGGTGGGGCTGGGGAAGCAGATTTCAATTATGATGCGCTAGTAAGGAATTTAAATTTCTTATTACATCCGTCCGACTTACGAAACTATGGGAGCTCGTGGAGTCGATTCCGGTGACTATTGCCAATAGGATTATAACGACAAGTGCGACAACTCCTCCCAAAATGTTCATCACCATACTCGCAATCGCCTGAAATAACCCCCAAAAAAGAACCCCCAAAACAACCATGTTAATTAATGAACTACGAGAGGGAACAGGGTTGTCCTTCACAACTTAGGACTTGGAAAAAAAAGGGTTACTTGAAAGAAAAAAAAACATAATACCGAGGACCCGAGCCCAAGTACTCGGTGGTTTTAATGTTCACTTTTGGGACATGTCAAGAAAAAAGTTCCAACAAGTCCAAACAATACTAGCAAAATGTGGAAACCATTTACGGGTCCTCGGTAACACAAAGTACGGGTCCTCGATCGGTAGTACACTAAAACTGGACGGGGTGCGTTCACATCTTTATTTGTACGTGGAATACATACATCCAGAGCGAGCAACACGTAGGCCTAAACGGAGATTTTTTGTTGTCCTCAGACGTACATGTTTTGTCGAGAACACTCCTCGGACGTAAATCTGTGTGCTTAGTCTATGGGAAAGTGCAATGGTGTATTATAGGAACAAAGGGAATCACAATGCCTTGATTATGGTCCTCAGACGTAGTGGCAATAGAGTACGACGATGTGCACACGTATTGCGCGTAGTACTAATTTAGCAACAGTTTAAGATGCCGTATTTGATATTTGCTTCAATTTGTACTCACCACTCCCCGGTTCTTGGAAACTCCGGCAATTATTCCGAGAATACCCGCAGGAATGAAGAACTGTAAATAAACGAATCACTGCGTCTATCAAAGCACGTGGTATACATTAATAATAATAATTACTCTATTTGCTACAATAAGGCGACTTTCCATCCCGGAATAATAATAATAATTATAATAATAAGTTCATAATTTATCCATTTGTAAGGCGCAAATTCCGAAAATTGGACTACATTGCCCATGGAAGTTGTTAATATTTCTTTTATGTCAGAGCAAAAAGAGGATCACGAAATTGAGCCTCTAAAGTACAACCATTTCTTTTCATTGATAAAAGTGCATCTTTTATTAGTGTGTTTGGTATAGTGTGAATTCCATACAAGTGGTTAGTTTTGCGTAGAATACCGCGTGCGTTGCTAGAACGAATACTTTGCCACACTAACAAAGTTTCTTGAAAGATAAACATATAAAAACAAACGATATTTGTTCATGATAGAATACTTATTCCAAACAGTTTTGCTCTATTTCCTTAGGCCTAACCCTCCTCGTGGGAAGTCGATTTCCAGAGCAGTATTATGTCAAAACCCTTTAAACCCTGCAGGTCAGTTTCAAGTTGAACTAGAGTTGTGAAATGCAGAAGACGCACTAGGAGGGTCAACTAACCGTTCAGAAGAACAAGTGTAACATCATTATCCTTAGTTTTCCAATATACTCACTAAATTCACGTATGCAATCGCTACACTTACCAAAATGCTTCCCCAAACCTCTGGGCCGGCAAAATCTGTGGCGGTGTAGTAGACCCAGATCCACGATACGCCCCAAAGACTGGGCAGCACTATCCCATCGATAATGTGTATCACCCCGAGCGTGACCATGGCACATTTATACTCGTTCTCTGCCATCTTGGAATGGACACCTGTATACCGATGATAAAAAAGGACAGGAACGAGTGTTGTAGTCGAACCCATCACAAGCAAATCACAAGTCCAGTCCATTGCTTTTGCGTGTTTGTCAAAGGCAAACGTGGTTAAAAAAATTAATGCGATTCTTACCAAATTAGTATTGTGCGTCAATAATAGATTGTTAATGATTGACAATCAAATGAAACAACGTTATATTACTCTTTGATATTCCATGATATTAATAATGTCAGTTTTGGATCAGCTATTTTGAAGTATGGAAGAGGGACATTTTTCCCTAAAAAGTAGGCCCGTATTAGTTATAAATTATATTTTCAAATTTGGTAAAGAGGTCCATCACAAGTCTGGTCACAAAAACATCATAAGCCCAGTCTCAATAAGAAACTGCTGGATGACTTATAACGGACTTGTGACAAGAAACGCTAAAGTTAATTCCTCTACTCAATAAATCCCAATCGACGAATTGTTTAATCGATCGATCAATTAATCGATTAATCAATATAACAATCCATTTACTTATCAAAATTGTTCAGTCGTTTTGTATGGAGAAATGTTTACTTGTTCACCGCCATCTTGGATTGAACACATAACCAGAACGCACCGGCAATGTTTGTTTCATTCTTGTATCTAATCAATTTCTATTGATTGAAGTGATTGTCAATTTTGATCAGTCCATTCAGCGATAAATCGACTGTTTTTAACCAAAAAGTGCTCAAGATAATTGCAAGTACAGGATGGTGCTTTTACAATCATATAAAAAAATACAGAAAATCCGGAAAATTCATTGTATGCAATGATTCAAGCCAAGACTGAATACATAAACTGACCGACCGGTGGACCAGCCATACCTAATCAATTAATTTTAGCCATTCAATATACAAGTATAATGTTAGTGTAAACCGAACATGCGATGGTCTGTGTTTGAAAACGAAAAATACTGAGTGATTTTACCAGTGTCGTCCTGAGAAGTAATTGCTGGAAGGCTAGAGATCCACCGACTGGTTTGAGCGCCTGCTGCCGAATTTTGCTGATCATTGCTGCAAAAATGCAACTCTGGCAACAATTTTACAGTTGATCTGGTACCTGCGTCACGACAAACAGAGTGACCAATGTCGATTAGTGGTCGAATAATTATAGACACGAAGGCACTGTGACCCCTTCCATTGCTTGTTTGTCGAAGGCAAACGTTGTTAAAAAAGGTGAAAGATTAAAAGCGATCCGTGCCAAATCAGTATTGTGTGTCAAGGATAGAATGTTAATGATTGACAATAAAATGGAAAATATTAGTCACAATCGATATTCCATGACGATATCAGAACTGGGGTCAATTATTTCGGGGTCAAATATTGTGCAGGGCGATTTCTTTCCTAAAGAATAGGCCTAATTGTTATAAATTACATGTCTGTTTTTTGGAAGAAAGCCTCTCTTCTAAAAGAAGGAAATTTGGTAGTCCTTTCTTACCGAGTGGCCTTCGTCCGATAGTGTCCGCTATGAAGGGCGCCCCCATAGAGAGATTTTGTCCGTCCCCGCCCCCTCCCCGCCACACTTACACCCACACACAGACAAGTTTGCCTGCAATCTGGTCCCTCTTTTGTTTGTACTCAAACTGTTTATGAATACCTCCCATATGTTTCGTACAAATCGCGAAATTGGGGACCTTCGGGAATTGGGGACCCTATTGTCTTTCATTGTTCAACGTCCCCTATTGAATGCAGAAACAAACTCACCTGCACACCCCAGTGTTTTATTATGGGGCTGGGGGGCTAGTAAAAACCCTGTCTACATTTCAGCACGAATGCTACAGATATTGCCCCCCCCCCCCCCACTGTAACATGCAGCCCTCTATGGTGAGACGCTGAGGCACATACCATAAACCAACAGTTATTAAAGGTTTTCACTTCACTCCTGTAATAACCACAAAGGTATCTGTCACCATCTTCTGGTTGTCGCATACATTGGTCGGGTCATGTGCAAGTCTCAAATTAGGTTATGGGATGAGCTTTTCGATGAGGTTTTCTTATGTTGATGGCATCTATCCTATTTTTGAATGTATTGGCATCCGGTGCACTTCTTGTGCCAAGATCAAACAGGCTCCATTCTAGGATTGTCTTAGGGTAAAGAGAGTGACGGTGGCGGTCCTTTTTTTTTTGAAGTGATGACATTACATTTGAAAGCCCCTGTTTGTCTGGTTTGATGGCGATTTGTAGAATTTTCAGATGGAAGATGGCCCATGATTTTGGCTGAGGTTATTACATGTGTTTCTTTATAGATGGCGGGCGAGATCGAGCAACAAATCTGGCAGCTTTATGTTGAATTCTCTCAATCCTGTCCCTGTTTGATTTGTGTTGTGGATCCCAGATGGCAGAGCAGTATTCCAATTTGGGTCTGATCAGTGATTTGTAATCTCTTGACTTGGTACGATTGCTCCAATAGTAGACATTTCTCTTCAATATCCCCAGCATTTGTATTAGCTTTGGTTGTGATCTGCTTAAGTTGTACATGTATCTGACCCAGCATCGATGAACTCTTGAGACTTTGTCCTCTCAAAAATGATATCACTGAAAACGGTTCGTCCCAAATTATCACAGTTTTTGAACTTGGGCTTAATGATTAACCAGAACTGGACATTGCACAGTCGTATCGGAGTACAAGAGTCTACTTGTTAAGCCTTTGTTGACATCATTAGCCTATATTCCTGCAGAGGTATCTTAGTCTAGTTCACCGACCACATGGCGATCCTGATGCCTCATACTAGGATCGTGGGTCAGGTAACTGTCACATTCAAAAATAGAACATTTTGACGCAGCAAAGCTCCGCCCTCGTGTGCATTCTCGAGTGCATTCTCGAAACTAGACTTGAAATCAAGTCGTTAATTGGCCGGGTTTAGTTCACCAGCTGCTCCATCGCGTTAACGTCCAGGGGTTGCGTGTTGTGTTTGGGTATCACATGCAGGAACGTTTCGTGCAGATATTCTCGGCCCCAAAAAGCGCGGACTTCGATTCCAATTAAAAACTTGAATAATGTGAACTCAGGTTTGTACATACCATAATGTTGACTGCTACCAAAATTGGACAATCTGATTAGATTAGAATCAGGAGAATATGAAGATGTATATTACGCCTGACATTCAAGAGTCTCGGTGCACGTATATGTACACGTGACTGTGCGGTGAATGCATGCAACACAGCCCGGAGCGAATCAATCAGGTCGGAAGCTAATTCGTGGGTCGTACGGTATTTGAGGCATCCTTTTTATATTCTTACTCGAAAAACAAGATATTGACATTAAATTTTCGAATTTACCACCGAGTGTACTATTTTTAATGTAAATGGTTCGAAAACAGAACAAAAATAAAGAAGTGTGCATGCATTGATCAAGCAAGCGAAAGATATCCCCACTCTAATAATGGATGCTTCCCCAGCAATACGGTTGGCTATAATTGGCCCTCACTATGGATACGTAATGCCATGGATTTCGCTGCCCGAATAAACGATTAGCCATCCGAAATCATATTGGTCAAAGCCATCTCGAAACACAACGCTTAAAGCAACGTTAAAATTACCCGCGGCATGTAGGTACGAAATCAACAAAATAAAAACCTGAGTAATAGAGGGGCAAAAGAGGGGCAAGAGAGAGAGAAAGAGATAAAGCGAATAAAAACAGTTCTGGAATTGCAATGTTTTTGTTTTCACAAAATAGTTTGCCTTGTTTTGAATACTTCAAAAATATTTAGAAATACAACGTGTGAACAAACAAGGCTCTTATGATCGGGCAACTAAAGGTAAAAAAAACCCAATTATTGATTCAAGGAATTCCTCAAAATTTCACAAATTTTAAAGAAGTAAAATGATGTACAAGGAAAGTACCATAACGTACTGTAGAGAATAACAAAACAACATCTAGAGACTACGAAACAAAGCAAAAGTATTATAAGTTCCTTAATTTTCATATATCCACATACACTCATTTTAACAGCTCGTTTTGTCTATTTGAAATAATGTAATCTTAGAATTAATACACTGTAACGCACGCCTATGCCTGGTCCTTTTTCGTTCCGTCGTGGGCCAAACGCAAACAAAAATGTTGTGCAATATGAAACCATGTAGGTAGAAGCTTCAGCATCAGCATCTTTACTCGATGTTCTTTCACTGAACTCATGCAGTATCTCATCTATCTGCCCCTGCATGGCTACACAACTAACAACAGAGTCAACAACTTTTATACAATGTATTACGTTTCACCCGTCTTGGCGTCTGGCAAAACCCTTCCCGCGTAACTAAACCAAAGAACCCGGAGCAGTCTATTTATGATAACAACGTCTTAGAAAAACAATATCAGCTTATTTCAGTTCATGTTCTTTCGCTAAGCACGGGAGCCTGTTAAGCTTAGAAAAAAAACCACTTAACCAAAACAGGTTACCCGCAAAAGATTTTTACTCAGCTACATAAATTTACCAAGCCATATTGTCGGCTATAGCTCTATGAAATTGGGCCCAGCAGGACGCATAACACGGTGCTTAGTACTTCTGCTCTTCGGGTGGTGGGTACTGGACCGGGGCGCTTGGGTACTGCCCCTGGGCAATCATTTTCCTGTAGTCTGGTTCCCTGACTCCATATAAGAAGAAACAGAGCAGTTTACATACATTGGGGAATTGTCAGGTCAGCTAGGGAACCAGTATAGCTGGCTTGTACCCGTTCATAGGTGTGTAATCGATTGCAAACAAGTGCGATGGTCAATTGGGTTCAGTATTTGAAAAAAAGCCAGTTGTTTCCAACTCTGGTCGGCCGACCAGCGTTGGAAATTGATACAAAAATACCCCTTTTTTTAAAATGACAGTATACCAGGTGCCATGATTTTATAGGATGCTTTACACTGTCATTCACTAACAGTCCAGCAAGGTATTTCAAAATGATTTGGTAGTTTTATTTTTTGATGTTTGCAAATGTTGTATTTTTTTAGCTTTTTTAAGTTGGGCCCAGGACACATTACACAGTGCTTAGTACTTCTGCCAGGCTTGGGTTGGTGTGTACTGCCCTTGGAATGTGGTGCCTGGGTACTGCCCCTGGGCCGGGCCTGGATACTGCCCCTATTCATCTATAGAAATTGCCCTGTGGAGACCTTTACAATGTTTTGTTCCCTATTGTGTGTGTGTCTCCACAATGATACAAATTTGTAGTCACCCAGACGCACTCAGTCTTTTTTTACTATACGCCTGAGGACAACTATTGTGTTTTCCTTTGTCCCTCTAATATAACACTTTCCCAATAGACTAAGCACATAACCGTACGATCGAGGACCGGTTTTAACAATAGGCACCGTCGTCCGAGGGTCAAAGGCTCCTTTGTGCTCCATTTGTTGTCTGTCCTCGAGCGTAATACAATACAAGAGCACACAGACGCACACGGACAAGTTTGCCTGCAATCCGGTCCCTCTTTTGTTTGTACTCTAACTGTTTATGAAGACCTATATTATTTCGTACAAATCGTGAAATTGGGGACCTTCGGGAATTGGGGACCCTATTGTCCTTCATTGTTCACCGTCCCCTATTGAATGCGGAAACAAACTCACCTGCACACCCCAGTATTTTATCATGGGGCTGGGCGACTGGTAAAAACTCTGTCTACATTTCAGCACGAATGCTACAGAAAGTGGGCTCCCCCCCCCCCCCCCCACTGTAACATGCAGCCCTCTATGGTGAGACGCTGAGGCACATACCATAAACCAACAGTTATTAAAGGTTTTCACTTCACTCCTGTAATAACCACAAAGGTATCTGTCACCATCTTCTGGTTGTCGCATACATTGGTCGGGTCATGTGCAAGTCTCAAATTAGGTTATGGGATGAGCTTTTGCGATGAGGTTTTCTTATGTTGATGGCATCTATCCTATTTTTGAATGTATTGGCATCCGGTGCACTTCTTGTGCCAAGATCAAACAGGCTCCATTCTAGGATTGTCTTAGGGTAAAGAGAGTGACGGTGGCGGTCCTTTTTTTTTGAAGTGATGACATTACATTTGAAAGCCCCTGTTTGTCTGGTTTGATGGCGATTTGTAGAATTTTCAGATGGAAGATAGCCCATGATTTTGGCTGAGGTTAT